GTGTGTCTGTGTGTCTCTGTGTGTGTTCTGTGTGTCTGTGGTCTCTGTGTCTCTGTGTCTGTGTGTCTGTGTGTGTGTGTGTCTTGTGTCTGTGTGTCTGTGTGTCCTGTCTGTGTGCTGTTCTCGTGTCTGTGTGTCTGCGTGTCTGCGTGTCTCGTGTCTGCGTGTCTGCGTGTCTGCGTGTGTCTGCGTGTGTGCGTGTGTGTGTGTGTGTGTGTGTGTGTGTGTGTGTGTGTGTGTGTGTGTGTGTGTGTGTGTGTGTGTGTGTGTGTGTGTGTGTCTGTGTGTCTGTGTGTCTGTGTCTGGGTGGGTGGTTGAGTGGGTGTGTGTGCGCGTGCGCGTCCGCGTGTGCGCGTGCGCGTGCGTGTGTGGGCGTGGACGTGCGCGTGCGCGTGCGCGTGCGCGTGCGCCACCAAGACCCGGGGCTACGATCGACTTGTGAAACCGGTGCAAGCGACTTCTGCGCCCAAAAACACCAATTTCTAGCGCATGCGCGTGTGGGTGTGGGTGTGGGTGTGGGTGTGCGTGTGCGTGTGCGGATGCGCGTGCATGTGTGTATGCGTGTGCGTGTGTGCGACTTCACGTCATGCCTTACTGCATCAGCACTGTCACAGCATCATTGAGGCCGCTGTTGGCCGGCACTTCTTTTGCATTGGCCGGCGGATGTTTGGCTTTCAACGAACTCAGGCGCCACTTTCTCTGCGATCTTTTTTGTTTTTCAATTTGGAACGGACATCGGTGTGGACAGCGGCTGACAGCACTGGTGTTCGAGTGCAGGCGGGAGTTGCCAGAACCCTGCCAGGCCGGCGTTCTGTCTGCATAGAGAGCTTTGCGTGCAGCTTCAACGATGCACGAGCAGTGCTTTTCAACAAGCAAGCACCCATCGTCTGGAACGTGCGGAATGCGCTCGATGTCTTCGGAGAGCTGCAAAGTAAAGCCGAAAGTGTGAAACTTTGCGCCTGCTGGATAGTGGGGTATAGTGGAGTGACCAAGAGCGGTCTGCGAAAAGGTTGTGAAAGCGCAGCTGGGCGATCCCCTGGTATTTGTCTCAGCTTAGTCTGAGTCTGCGGATGCGTGTTTTGCTTTGCTGTAAGATGCAGCGTCCTACCGAGATACTCTCAGGTCCAGCAAGAGCTGGGCTTCAAGGCTGCTCCCTGGTCGATCCGCCTGTGGCATGGCCAGGTTTCCACCTTCCCAACTCATCGACAGCAGCTTTCGGGCATGCGGCATGCGCATGTTAATCGTGGGCCACAGCCTCACGCAAGCGATGTAGTGTCAGAATGCACTCATGCGGAGAGTGTGCGCCAGCTCCCAAACTTCGGGCTTAGCTGGCACTTCCAGACATGCGAATCATGGGGCTAGCACGGTCAAGCTATGCATGGAACCTGTCAAGCCTAACTAGCTAGACATGGGACTAGCTGAGCGTTGACTGGGTTTAATTTTTGTATGCCAAACAAGAAGCAAGAAGCATGCATGCAGCAATGTAACAAAAGATACATAGAAACAGCAGTACCTCCATGCATGGGCCTGCTCCCTTCGTCAGGCCTGTTACATGTGAAGGAGATGTTTGATCCAGTTCTGAAATTTTGCAGCTTGCACCGAGGTGCCATGGCCAGCGGCCAGCGCACCTGTGCCCAAATGCTTGCAAGGACCCGCAGCCGGCACAGCCCGCACAGCCGACAAAGGCCAAGGTCACCAAGGCAGCCACGGCAGCCAAGCCGGGCGGACACTTGGGAGTGCCTTGTCTCGAAGCACAGCACATGTCGAGTCTCAAAGGGACAAAGTTTACTCACGAGTCCATACAAGTTCCCACAGTGCAAGTTCTCAAGGCCTTTGCCGCTATCACGTGCGGCGGGTGCATGGCCAGGAGGCTTCAAGTTGGTATCCGCCCCATTCTGCCAAGCTGTCGCAAGCGTTTCGGAGGTCCCAGAGAGAGCTTTCAGGGGCCCTAAACCACCCACCAAGGCCCAGAAAGGGTCTTGGCTGGGCCCGGGACACCCTAAGGTTGAATGAGCAGGTATTGACCTTTGTTCTACAGAAGCGACTGTGCAGGCTGGTCTGCAGAAGCCACGCTCCACCCGAGACGATGCCCGCAAGCCGGCAGCCGAGGCAAGACTGCCTCCAACATCCCTCGGAACATGAGCTTCAAATTAGAAGTTGTTCGGGGCAGCCATGGCCCGGTAGCCCGGGTCAAGGCGTTGGCTTCGACGTGCAATCTTCCCCTGTCTGGCCTTCTTCGCGGTCTTTGGCGTGCGTGCGGCTGCCAGCATCTAGACTTGTGGTGTTTTTTCAGTGTGAACCACATTCGTGACCTGGAGGTCAGATAGCAGCTCATGCGGCAGGCCATCAACCGAATCCATGTTGCGATATTTGCGGTGGCTGCCATAGCATAATTTGCTTGAGAACGGGCTGGCTTTCTGTTTTTTGTTCCAGGTGTAGGCGCAGTTGGTCCAGCCAGCTTGACCAAAGCGTGTTTCGTGAACTGGCTCAAGGCCTTGTGCTGTTACGATTCGTGAAGTGCGCAACGATGGATCATTGAAAAGTGCCTTTGTCAGGCGGGCAGGCACTTTGTCAACTCTTCTATAGATGATCTGTGCTTGCCTCAGCATGCTGGGGCTCCTGGGTTTCATGAGAACTCCTTGCAGTTGAGCGCAGGCGGCTGGCTTGCAGTTTTTTTTGTCCCAGCCTGTACGCGAGGCTGATACTCCTCTTTGCAACGACTCTGATCGTACCCTTGATGAAGAAGCTACGCACATCGCCGCTGCCCAAACTCTAGGTGCTGTGGGGCATGCGGCTTTTTCTCTCGTTCAATGTTGATCCCCACTGTCAGCAGCTATGGGCTTTATCCGACTGTTGCAGACATAGCCCCGCCAGATAGAGTGTGCAGCATGCAACAAAGACGTTACCAGTGCGTGATGCACCCAACTCGAGGATGCATGTTGCACAACACAAGCTTCCGGTGTCCTCCGCCACGCAATGTCACTTCCAGAAGACCGCAGTGGAACTGTCCGGGCAGATGACTTTTGGAGCCATGGCATAGAAAGTTCTATCCTTGGGATGTAGGAACTGGCAGAGAGTTGAGAACTTGGCAAGGAAAGCTGTCGTCAAGAAGGATGTGGCCGTTCGAACCGTGGAAAGTATACATGGCATGAACGCCCCTCTGTTGCAAGCAGAGCAAAGTAAGCGGCGCGAGTGGTTTGGGACATTTTCAGGGCGGATGGCTATGCGGTCTCAGATGTCCTAAACATGTGCAGTCGGATCGTGACCCGAAAGTCTCCCGTTCGCAGCTGTTTTGTCTCCAGCGGGCGGGGGCACATTGGCCTGCCGGCCTACCCGGGCCAACCCGAGGTGGGGCAGATTGGGTCATGCTGCTGCTCATGTCCTGGCACAAATTCCCAACTCTCCTTACCGGATGTTTGGGTGATGGCTTTAGTGTTAGTGCTCTCAGATGATGCCTTCACGTGCCAGAAGGTGCCTAGACATGTCTATTCGGCAAAAGTTGTTTCACTCAGGCACGTGGCCACGTCTGTACCATGATGTTAAGCTATGAACAAGTGTCGTGCTAGAGTTTCAGGTTTTTGTGGTGACGCACCTAGAGCTGCAAGGAAAGTCTGAAGAAAGCCAGAGTGCGGGTGAACAAGAGCGGATTTGCCCCGAAGTGTCTGTGTCTGTGTCTGTGTCTGTGTCTCTGTCTGTGTCTGTGTCTGTGTCTCTGTGTGTGTGTGTGTGTGTGTGTGTGTGTGTGTGTGTGTCTCTGTCTGTCTGTCCGTCCTTCCGTCGGTCTGTCTGTCTGTCTGTGTCTGTCTGTCTGTCTGTCTGTCTGTCTGTGTCTGTCTGTCTGTCTGTGTCTGTCTGTCGGTCTGTCTGTATGTCTGTCTGTCTCTGTGTGTGTGTCTCTGTGTGTGTGTGTGTGTGTGTGTGTGTGTGTGTGTGTGTGTGTGTGTGTGTGTGTGTGTGTGTGTGTGTGTGTGTGTGTGTGTGTGTCCGTGTCCGTGTCCGTGTCCGTGTCCGTGTCCGTGTCCGTGTCCGTGTCCGTGTCTGTGTCCGTGTTCCGTGTCCGTGTCCGTGTCCGTGTCCGTGTGTGTGTCTGTGTGTGTGTCTGTGAGTGTGAGTGTGAGTGTGAGTGTGAGTGTGAGTGTGAGTGTGAGTGTGAGTGTGAGTGTGAGTTGTGGAGTGAGTGTGTGTGGTGTGTGTGTGTTGTGTGTTGTGTGTGTGTGCGTGGGTGCGCGTGTGCGTGTGCGTGTGTCGGTCTGTGTGTGTGTGTGTTGTGTGTGTGTGGTGTGTGTGTGTGTGTGGTGTGTGTGTGGGTGTGTGTGTGTGTGTGTGTGTGTGTGTGTGTGTGTGTGTGTGTTGTGGTGTGTGTGCGGTGTGGCGGTGTGTGTGCGTGTGTGTGTGTGTGCGGTGTGTGTGCGTGTGTGCGTGTGTTTGCGTGTTGTGCGTGTGTGTGTGTGTGTTGTGTGTGTGTGTGTGTGTGTGTGTGTGTTGTGTGTGTGTGTGTGTGTGTGTGTGTGTGGTGGTGGGTGTGGGTGTGGGGGTGGGTGTGGGTGTGGGTGTGGGTGTGGGTGTGGGTGTGGGTGTGGGTGTGGGTGTGGGTGTGGGTGTGGGTGTGGGTGTGGGTGTGGGTGTGGGTGTGTGTGGGTGTGGGTGTGGGTGTGGGTGTGGGTGTGGGTGTGTGTGTGTCATCCCAGCATGCCTGCAGTTTTGCCTGTGTGCTGTGTAGGCAGTTTGTGATCTACACTCGACCATCAGTCCCATGAACGACACCCTCAGTACCATGATCTACAGAAGCCAAGCTCATTGAAGCACTTCTCCGTAATATGAATTGCCGAGAAATGAATGGGTCGTGTGTTGAGTCGGTTGTCTCATTTTGTTTATTTTGCGAAGGTGTTTTTTTTTTTTTTTTTTTTTTTTTTTTTGAGTTTTTGCCAGCTCTCGTGTCCAGCTGCAGCTCAGCTTGGGCAATGCTTTTGTAGTCATTTTTGCTCGGCGCAGGTTCAGATATGGCAACAGTTGCTTGGTTGCAGCTGTGCTGGAAGTATGTAGACTTGTGACTTGTTGTCATCATCTAGTGGCAGGAAGAAGATACGATTAATGTGGCGGTAATTGGTGCCGGGTTCCTGGGCGCTCGCATCATCACGGAGATGTTGCTGCTTGGGAACAACGTCGTCCACGGCTCAGTGTTAAATCACACCGGAACAACGTGGTAACCTTGCGAGACAGTGATTTTGGTGTGTGAGGCCGTTTTCGACGCGAACATTGCGAAACAAAAACACCCTCAAACAGCTTTGAACGAAGTCGTGGGCAACCTCCTGCTCGAGTCTGACAGGCCGTGTGTGTCAGGGCTTGCCGTGGGTGCGAAACTTCGCTCTCATCCTGTTGGGTGTGATTTTCTCATGTGTCCAGGCAAGGTTTGCTGGGCTTAGCAGAAATGGCCGGGCCAAAGAGCGGCAAGTGGACGCCCTATGCCGATGAGCCCCCTCGGCAGGCAAAGGCATCTTGTCTGACAAGCCAGGCTGATGGAAGAAGCCTTTAAACCCTACGTAGAATCGAACACACGAGTGAGGGAACGAATCTGAAAAGATAGAGAGAAAAAGACGCAAGCAAGTACATTCAGCCAACAGCTACAAGCAACGGCAGAAACAGAGAGAGAGAGAGAGGCAGAGACAGAACAGTTACAAGCTATGCAGACGACGCAAAGTGAGAAAGAGCGTGTAAGACGATTTAAGCGGAATCCAGGTGAAAGCTCTGAGATCGAGACAACCTTTTGCACAACCAAGGCCTGCTTGTCTGTGGCCGAAGCCGCGACAAATGCACACATTGTTCTGGAAGCAGTGCCTGACAAGCTCGAGATCAAGAGCAAGGTCTTTGCTGAAGCGGTGTCGACAGCCCGTCCTGGCGCCATTCTTGCCACAAACACGTTGTCCATCCCGCTTAAGAACATCCAAGAGGCCAGGGCAATTCGACGTAGGGCCGTAAGCGCTTGGAGCCTTGGTTGCAGGCGGTGATGGTCGAGGTGGCGGGCAGTGGTCCGAAAGCACACCCGCTGCCTGCCGCACTGCGACCACGCGTGATGGGCTTGAGACGCCTAGATTGACAGATTGTTGCGGATTGAGCCGGCATTTGCGAGGTTTCTGCGCCGAGCGGAATGCTTATTTTGCTCTTCACATTGTAGAAGTTGGTGCGCGTGAGCTTGCTAAGGATTTCTCTCGCCAGTGGTGTTTATACCCTTCGTTGAGGTTACATTGTCATCTGAGCAGGACATGGGATCATGAGACCGACCATGAGACCTTCGGACCATGAGAATCATGAGAATCATGAGACATCATGAGACATCATGGGACCATGAAGAGCTGCGAAGCTCGAGATTACAGCTTGCGATTCGTGCAGGAGAAAGGCATTGACAAAGAAGATCTTACAGGAATGCTGCGCAAGTGGGGCAAAGCTTGCTTTATTTGCGACATTCAAGGCACGCTGCAAAGCATTGCGTGCGGTCCTTTCCGCTTCGTTTTTGCGTTTTTGGATTGCTTCTGCTGCTGCTGCTGCTGCTGCAGGTGCCGTGGATAATGCCGAGCAGGACAAGATCGACTTCATCCGTGTGGCGCGAGAGCGACTTCGTCTGGACACGGCCACAGCGCAGCGGCGCCAAGTTATAGAGGCAAAGCTGAGGGCAACACTCCGCATGGGGCCAGAGGTGCGGAGCAGGGTTTGCCCGGTCGTTTGTGTCTTTGCCCAGACTCCCATTGCCTTGGCACGTGCTCGGCGCCAGGCTGCTTCGCGGACGTGGTCCTCGGACCTCTTCAAAGAGACCAAGTGCTGTATATGCCTCGACGAAAAGCCCACTGTCCCGTCGATGCTTTGCGGCCACGTGGCTTTGTGCGAAGACTGTGCGGGTGTCGTCGAAAGTGGCACAAAGCAGTGCCCTATGTGCCGTGAGCGATTTGTGCGTCGGATGTAGACTTTGCCCGCGTGTGAATAATCCGCCTGCATCAATCTTGCATTAGACTGCGGTGAAGGAGTTCTGGCCGAGACTTTTCCCGAACGGACATTCACGTCCAGTTCTCACCCACCTCCTAGACACGGTCTCACCTTAAGTGGCATCTTTGCCAGACGATGCTTTCAGCTCAAGCAAAATGTCCTGTGGTTGCCGCGGTCGTGACTGTGATTGCGGTCTGTGTTGTCGCTCTTCTCTTTATTGTCGTCGTCGTTGCTATCTCATCGCCGTCGCATTTTGTCACCCTCTGCCCGCCTGTGTCTTGGCACCTTCAACGTCGCTTCGCACGCAAGCAAGATCAAAGTAAGCAGACATGCCCCTGGCTGTGACGGTCATGCACATCTGAGTCACATCTGTGTTGTTTGCATGTGCCGGCTGGTTGCGGAGAGGCACGCTCATCTCTTGTGCGGTCCGGTCATATTGTGGAGATAGTATGAGATAATGGAGAAGTGGATGATGCTGTGTTGGCACTCGAAAAACCTTCAACAGAAGATGCGGAGCTACCGAAGATAGATCATGCTCAGGACCCTCAGTTGGTGAAGTGCCGACACTTGCACCGAACGGAACGGAATGGCTGATAAGGGCCCGATGACACTCGCGACGGTCGGCGAGTGCCACCCCGTAGCCGTGACGAAAGCTTCGGGCAAGTACCCTTCTGAAGCGGGATGCAAATGGTGCTGATTTTTCAATATGCCAAAGCATGACTACATGAACCTGCGTGAATCACAAGCGGACCCCCGCATGTGTGTGTGTGTGTGTGTGTGTGTGTGCTTTCACAGTCAGGAAAAGTTCCCGGGTCGAATATTCAACTGGTGGCTTCCCATCTTATGTTGCAGAGGTGTGCCACGCTTGGCCCCGACACTGCCAAGTTGCGTCGCTCCAGAGGAGAAGCAACCTTCAAGCTTTCATAAACTTTCAGAAGCTTTCTAGTGAATGTCGCATGACGGCGCCACCTACAGCATGCTGTACAGCACTGCCGTAGCTGGCCAACCATGCACAATTTGTGTCGGCCATGTGCTCTGCGTCTTCTTTATTCCCTTTCGCATCCATGAGAAGGAGCCGTGCCAACGACAGCACGCTGCCGGCTTTAGAAACCCTTCCGTCCAGGCCGGGGACCGAAACGTGCCTTTTTTCTGCAAATCCTGCTTCAGTCAAAGTCAAGCACGAAGTTGTTTCGCCGCGTATCGTGATCACTCGTGTGTTTCAGCTTGATCTCTCAGGCCGCCACAAGAATCTTACGGCCACCATTTTAGCGAGACCACCTCACATGGTGCTTTGGCGAATCTACGGTTCATTTGGGAGACCCGATGAATGATGACTTGTGAGGTCTGATCCTCGGGAATCAACCAAAGCTGATTCCCTTAAGCCGCGGCCTCGAGAGGTAAGAAACGAAAGAGAATGCTAAAGGAGAGAGACAGGGATCGAGAGGATGCAAGAGAGATAGAGAGAGAGAGAGAGAGAGAGAGAGAGAGAGAGATTTTTTTCCCACCCTCGGTGTGGGGTTGTTAGAATTTACGCTCAGCTCTTCTCCTCGCCCGGAACTCTTCTCCTCGCCCGGTCTACTCCTCGCTCATCCCTGGAGTGCCCAACCCCAAAGTGTCCTGGAGTGCCCAACTCTGTGCCCAACCCCAGAGTGTCCCCGGAGCGCCCAGCCCCAGGGTCTCCCACCCAGAGTCTCCCTGGAGTGCCCACCACCAGAGGCCCAACCCCAGAGTTTCCCCAGAGTGCCCAACCCCAGAGTTCCAGAGTCTTCCTGGAGTGCCCAACCCCAGAGTCTCCCTCGAGTGCCCAGCCCCAGAGTGTTGCTGGAGTGCCCAACCCCACAGTATCTCTAGCAAGAAAGGGTGGGGATCTTCGAAGTAAAATAAGTTGAGAGTCTACTTGCACAAGCAAAGTCGGGGGGGGGAGCACGGCTTGGGGGGCGCGGCTTTGGCCTTGGAAGCGGAGGCCCGAAGGGCTTCACAACAATGAAGCGCGAAGCCAAGGCCACATGTGAGACATTCAGAGTGTGTTGTCTTTTTCTTTTTTGTAGAAGAGAGGCATATGTTTCGATATGTTTCGTGTGGTTTTAGGTGAGAACTTGATAGCCTAGCCTCACAGTTCATCCATCAGCATTGGCATGGGGGCTTTGCCAAAGCCACGTCTCCAGTGTTCGAAAGTGTTCGAAGGTGCCTGAGCCGGTGAAGTCGGAGACAAAAGCCGAGACCCCCAAGCCTTGCGGGACATCGCAGATGGAACTTCGTCTGCAAGAGCTGCACAAGCCGTCGGCCTGCACGCGAACACCTGCAGCGATTCCTGTGAAGCTTATAGATCACAATATCAGTTCCGTCAACACCCAGCCTGAAAGCCTCCACACGCGGAGCCCTTTTGTTGTTTCTGAATATCATCTCTTTAAAGGTTTAGGACGGAAGCGGAGGGATCGGGAAGACCGACAGAGAAAGGACGGGAGCAAAGAAGTGTTCCTGAAAGAGTTGTATGTGAGCTCTGTTGTAAGGTTGGCAAGGGTTTCGACTTCACAAAGGGTTTTGTGTTCTACTGCATCGACAAGTTCCAGTCAATTGTGAGAACTTGTGGTGCAGACGATTTCTAGTCGGGCCCGGGGGACAGCAAGAAGTGGCGGACAAACCCCCATGTCCAACTTGGAACAAAGAGAATATTAAGGACGAGAGATCGAGACTGCATAGTGCATCTTTGCGTTGTTTTGCCTCTGTGTGTGTGTGTGTGTGTGTGTGTGTTTGTGGCGAGCATTTTCGGGGCCTATGTCGTTCATGGGAGCTTCGATCACAGCCACCCCCAAAGGTTCTTCTTGATCGACCCAAGAACTGGGACAAATTAGGACAAGAATGGCGTTCAAATCCCATGTATGCATGCATGCGCAGAGACGTTTGCAATCTGCAGACGCGCATGCTTGTGAGAGGCGCATGGGCAGGGTGTGTTTTTAGGCTTCCGCCGGGACCCACGAAAGGGCTTACGGGCCCTGGGCCTGTATCACCACCCCAGAAGCAAAATATAGTGTTCTACTAGCCACTTGTGGCAGGGAGGATAAAAACTACCCCTCGCCACAGGTCTCTTGTTTCTGGAGCGCGGAGAGTGGTTTCGCTTACGCCCAGGAAACTCACCCACAGAACTGGCAGTGCCCAACAAGAGCAACAGTTTTCGCAAGAGATGGTCGCAAAGGATGTCAAGCGCCCTCCCGACATTTGGGATGATCGGATCTGGGGAAAGTACCAGGACTGACAGAGTCGGCATTTCGGGCGCACCATGGCACTGCGTGGTGAACTCCAAAGCCTCATGTGTGCAGGTCTGAGCCTGCGCTGCCGAAGAAAAAGGCTTGGTGGGCGGCTTGGCGGTCAACCTGGAGAAGTGAGGCTGCGCCTATTTCTTTCGCGTGTGATGCTCCGGTCCCTGCAAAAAAGATGCCAATGGCCACTTTGTCGAGGACCGGACATCGTAAACTTGGGGAAAGGCTTTCGAAAGTGTGCATTCGCCGCAGCTGCGCGGATCCGGTCCTATGCCTTAATCAGAATTTAACTCCAGTTCCGGGCGCCTTTCTCGCATCCGTTTTGCGCGTGCCAAGCTTGAGCAGAGGGCCAAAGGCTCTGAGTTCTGGTCGCTTTCCCAGCTGCCATTGTGCAGCTAGTAGATCCATCGAATCGACCCATGCATGTCCAATGTAGGCTTTGTTCATCTCCGTAATTCTCTGTGTGTGCCTCTCTCCATCTCTTTGATTCTCGTGTGCTATGCTCTCCATCTCTCGTGTCTTTGCCGCCTTTGCCGCTTGCAGCGGCCTTTGCCAAGCTCGTTTTGCATAGCGCTTAAAGTGCTTTGCAACCTTTAGCCTCTAATTAGGTCACCTGCTTCTTGTCTCTGATCGGCCAGCCCCAACATTCGAAACATTCAGACAAATCTCAGGTATAGGCAGGATCAGCGATGTCATCGCCGTCAACCGAGACATACCGAATCGTGGTAGCCAGACTACCGCGGGGTGACAGGTGATGAAGGTGGAGCTGGAAATTCAGGTTCCCATTATTTCCACATGCCATCACTGAAAAGAAGAAGGACACTGTGTCCTTGGCCAGCAAGAAAAAGACGGTGCTTCCTCAAGCCAAATGCAAATGCCTGCATATTTGCTTCAGAACCTGCACTGCTTGTTTGTGTACCCGAGGCCCATCATCGGGTTTCTCCTGATTGGCTTGATCCTGGGGCCTGCTGGGGCAGATGTGATCCGTCACGTTGTGGGGATCCAAGCTTTGCGCTCTCCTGCAGCGTTCAAAGAGGCCATCTTACATCGTCTCAGAGCTTGGCTGTTGACTAAGTGACTATCCTCAGGATGTGAGCCATCGCATTGCCGATTTTGGCATCATCTTCTTCCTATTTGAGCCAGCCATCCAATTCAAGTTCTGGACCCTTCAAAGCACGGAGTGAAGAACCATGACATGGCAGGACTGGCTTGGAGCTGTCTGTCAAGAAGGTCGTCTCCATGCGAGGGGATGCCGCGGCCCCTGCTCAGACAGGGACAAAAGATGAACCCACAAGGCGTCTGCTTGGAGGTGTTTGGCCTTGGCATGGCCCAGTTCATGATCACCAGTGGCGTGCTCTCCCTGCTTGCGCCGGGCTGCCTGCACGAGAAAGTCCTCTGCAAAACTTTGTGTATCGGCGCCTGTTTTTTGGGGGCTTGGTTGCTAAGGCCACTTGTGTCTTCTCATTTGTCGACGGGTGCCTCCTTGCTGATGGGGGGTGGCCTTGCGCTCTCATCATCAGCGCAGCTCCCAGCTGGCAGCTTGAAGGCTGTGTTTCCAGCCTGACAAAGGAGCCTCCGAAGCTGTCCAAGCCAGAACATGTGGTTTGCTGTAGTCTGGCCCCAACTGTGCAGAAGGCTTGCGGCACTGTGCTTATAAGTGGAGGTTCTGCAATGAAACCCAGAAAGCAAACTCACATCTAGTGTGGCTCCAAACTTGTAAGGCATTTGCTCTCCAGCTGTTGCGTGATAAGCGCCAACTCGGCACTCGCTTTGGACGGGCGCCGGGGTCTCGGATGGTGCTCTTTGCATCTCCACCAGCAGAGCTCTCACATGCACAGAAGTACTTAGGCTTGTAACAATACTGCAATATCTGAGGTCTCTTGGAGTGCTGTTGTTTCAGGACCTGGCAGTGTCAGGCTGAGTTGTTTGCCCAAAGAGTGCGGTAGACGCGGTGCTTTGCAAGCTGGCTTGCTCCAGCCGTTGAGGTCGTGCCACTGCTGGTGCTTGCGCCATTGCTGGGCGACCCTGGTGGAGCTGCACTGCCGGTGCGCAGCAGCCCCGCATAATCACCGCCGAAGATCGCCGAAGGCTTGCTGGCACATTTGCTGCATGTGGCGACCTTTGTGTTGCAGGTGGCTATTGCTGAGTCTTTCGGCAAGGCCTGAGAAGACGCTGATGTGCGGCACGTCTCGATTCATTGCAAAGTCACTTGTCGTTGGCTCCTTGAAAGCTCAGGCGGTGCTGGCTCTCGGCATCGTCGTAGCTACTGGCCAGTAGCCCGCCCAGAGATTCACTTTTGAAGGTGCTGAAGAATTGGGAGCACAGCAAGAAGAAGCACACAGTCGCCCCTTGTGCCTGCGACAAGGGACCCCAAATATCTTCTGGCAAGAATCGACGTGGCTGTCTCGACCTTGTGTGCCTATGATGGTGAGTTAGTGTTCGATATTGTCCGGTGTTTCGCTTTAGTCACCGGCGTTTAGGGGCAACGGTCTCTGGGCCTTTGGGCTGAATGGCATTTGTCGTTGCGTGCATGTCGTAGGCTATGATGCCGAGTGTTTGGCGCTTGCCTTCAGAATTCTGAAACGAGCCGTGGCAAAGTCTTGCCAGAAGTGCTCTCGCTGTGTCGTCTGGCGCCCTGGCCCCTCGCGCTGTCGCTCACCGTGCGCATTCTGCGAGTGACGGCCCTTTCGGTGTTTCATGGCTCTGCGATACTCTCGTTGTAGCACGGCGTGTCTTCAACGACCTGGTCAAATTTCTCATTAGCGTTGCGCGCTTTTCGCCGATTTACAAATCGGAACTTCCGACAACCCTCCAACAGTCCTGCAGGAAATGAGGAACTCTTCGAAACTTCCCACAAGTTCCCCAGACCGCTGTGTTCGAAATCACGTTCCTGCATCGGTCCTTCGTGCTGCTTTTGAACAAAAAGCTGCCGTCGCTTTGGGGCGTTGGATCGCGACACATTGCGTTCTGAAGTGCTTTTGGGAAAGTTTGATGGCCTTTGCTGGACTTTTCTGGTGCGCTGCTTGAAGTGATTTTTGAGTGCTCTCGGGAAATACGCTTCGTGCTCCTACTTGTGTCCCTGGAGAAACCGAAGCCGTCCGGCCCTGGACCACATGTGGTGCTGGAATGTTTCTCGACTTTCTGAGTGCGAAAGCTTGCACTTCGATGTTTGCATTTTCACTTTCGATGGCCAAGGACCCTAGCATGAAGGAAACTTGACGGAACCGTGGACCGAGCGGAAGGAACAGAGAGACAGGGAGAGAGAAGCGTGGAGAAGAAGAAGAAGAAGAAGAAGAAGAAGAAGAAGAAGAAAGAAGAAGAAGAAGAAGAAGAAGAAGAAGAAGAAGAAGAAGAAGAAGAAGAAGAAGAAGAAGAAGAAGAAGAAGAAGACAAACAATAATACAAATAATAGTAAGAAGAAGAATAATTAGGAAGAAGAAGAAGAATAAGCAGAAGAGGTGCTCAGTGCTTTATGTCAAGCATTTGTAAACGCATGTCATGTGCGGGGGTTCTACCTCGAAGCCCTGAATATAATACAGAAAGGAAAGAAAGAAAAGAAGGAAGAGAGAACAAAAAGAGAGGAACATCTGTGCAAGCATCTCACCCGTAGGTGCGTGCGGGAGGGGTGCATGCCCTGTCCTTTGTGCTGTAAGGTCAGGCGGTCATGTTCGGCAGTTGAGAGAAGGCGTACATGGCAAGCATTGGGAGTCACATGCTGTCATGCAATTACATCAACTACTTAGTTACTTATTTCTTGTGGTGGGGGGTTGTCGGGGAACCCTCTCCTGCCGGAGGGGTCCGACGGTTCCAATCTTAACTCCGTAAAAGTTCCCGCCCGAGGTGATGCCTCTGCCCAAGCGGCCTCAGGTACCCTAAGCTTTCCATTCGCCCTGGCTTGACTCGGACATTGATGACACCTTGCGCATTTCGCAAAGCACAGGGGCTGCGAGGGGCGAGCGAGGAGGAGGGGAGAGGGAGGGAGAACAAGAAAAAGACGACTGGAAGCCTCCCAGGCCCTCACAGAAGAAGACAACAGGAAGCGAGCGAGAGCGAGCGAGTATGCATACTTGTGCCGCTTGTGCCGCTTTTGCGACTCGCCCAAGTTTCTTTCTCCGGCCGTTGCTGTCGTTTGTGAAGCGATCGGACTCCTCAGAGGCCGCAGGGCATGGAAGAGCGAGAGCGTTTGCTTCTGGTTTGCTTGGGAAGTGGTAGCGATTGTCAGCTTGGCGGAGGCCTTCCTGGCGGTCACACTGGGGACGGTGTTGCTTTCATCCAGTCTCACACAGGCAGCAATATGCAACAAGATGCCATGAGCATGAAACTGTTTTTTTTTTTGGTGCGTTTGCCGGAAGTGGACTGGCTGTCGCCAGCCAGGCGTTTGGACTCTCTGAGACGCTTGGCGCTTTTGTCGGGGGCGTGCTCGTCGCAGAGACCGACTACAAGCACCAGATCGAGGCCATCTAGCATTGCCTCAAGAGTGCTTGCTGTCTGCTGTACGCGAGACAACAAAGAGCCCCTGCTGAGCTCACCTTGCATTCAGTGCAGCATGTGGGCTCCAGTAGCAGTAGCATGGCCGGCGGAGCACCGAAGGACAGGCTCTATGAAGCTTGCCAGAAGAGATGAGCACAGATTAAATGCGTCAGACAGTGTGTGCCCAATGAATGAGAGCTCAGGAAGTTCTGGCACAGCATCGCTATCTAGACTCAGGGCATCATGCGCTGAACGAGTATGTCCAGAGCTGCATTACGGAACACGGCGATTTTTTTCAGAGGTTCAGGGATGTGTGGTGCCGCACAATCATAGTGATGTGTGTGTGTGTGCGTGTATATGTCAGTCTGTCTGTGTGTAGGGCTTTCCGAAACTTCGGTGGGTCCCGCCTGCAGAAGGTTTTGAGCTCTTCTGATTTGCGGGTCTTTCTTGATGCACTGAGGTGAGACAGATTCGGGAAGCAAACGATGACCCCTCGGCCGGAGATCCCAATGACTTGCTGGATCGCTTGGAGCAGGACCTTTGACAAGATGCAATTGTTGCAGGGCCACTGTATCTTCTCAAGGAGGTGAAGGCTGAGGAGGAGACGTTGGCTCGGGCATTCAACCTTTTCGACAGCAAAAGGAAAGGCGAGCTGGAGCTGCTGGCCTGCATCGTAAGACATCGCGGGCATAGTGTTTCTATGAGTGATCAGTGTTCCCATGCATGCGAAGCCAAGCTGTGTAGCGCGTCACTTGCGAACAGAAAAGTCGGATCAGAAACGTGTTCCATGTCCCTTCAAGGCGGGGGCAAGAACTCACCCCTGCGTTTTTGAAATTTTGGAAACCGAGGAAGGGCGACCTGAAGAGCATGAACCGCTCCTTTGGCGGCAAATAGATGGATTTCTGGCGCGGGTCTTGGCCTCAACTGCTCGTCGACACGAGGATCTCCGCGGGATGTCTTTCATGACTGACTTGGAAGCACTTGCGAGAACTTAGTGGCACTCTCCATAGCAGCCTCTTCGATCACGTCCCTCTTTAGCCTGCGGGTGGGCTCCGCCTATTTTCTTTTCATTTGGTCGTCAATGTCTTCAATCTAGCGGGGCTACATAATCCTCCACAATGCTTCATACTAGCAGTCGCTTCTCCTTACGGCTTCGCAGCTCCCCCGACCAGTCGGGCGTCCTCTATTCTCGAGCTGTGCTACAGTGAAGTCCGACTTGATGCAGGCTCTCGCCTTCGCTTTATGTGTTGGCTCCGCCACAAACCGAAGAGTTTCAGGTCACCGAGCACTCATAGCCCGCAGTATGCAAAGAAAGTCACGAGGCGACGAGGCCATTGGATAAAATCAAGTTTTTTGGTCTGCTTCTTCATCCCCTCATCCAGAGCTTAAGCCTGCAGCAAGAGCTGTCCAGTGGTCCTTGCAAAATCTTTGGCAACTTCAATTCTGACACGGGCCTGCAGAGACAGCTCAGCAGAGGAGACGGTTTTGGGGACGGTGCACCCAGATAGTTAGACACTATGACAACCTCAACATCTTCTGTCAGATCTGTGTTTGCTGACTTAGTGAGGCTACCTCGGGTTCCCTTCAGACGATGCCGACATCCAGCGGCTTCTGAAGATGATTGACACGGACACCGTGGGACGGAATAGTCAGAACATTGCTTCAACGCTTCGGTAGATACATGTGGTTGGTCCCCTGAAAGGGCTTGCACCTGCAAGATCCAGCAAGTGCCCACGCTTAGTCGTGAGAGATCGCAGGACGGAAGCGGAAAGATTTCCTTCACTGAGTTTCAGGAATATGTACCTCAGCTGAAGCCAAAAAGCCTGCCCGGAGAAGAAGATGCCGCCGGCGTATGCGAGATGGGATTAGGGACTTGTTTCGTACGTATGTGTTCGTCTCGTTTGCTCACCTGCTCAGGTTGTATTCTTGAGGAGACTTTCTAGGCATACTTGAAATTTCTTAAGATCCTGCTGGAATTCCCAGGTAGGCAAGATGGGCGGAAGTGGGAAACTGTTCGAGGAGCGGCAGAAGCGTATCAAGCAGAAGTGGCTCGGAGAAGTTGGCGGCGTTTCTTTACGTTTATTGAAAATTGGCCGTCATCGAACGTAAGCAGAGTGAAGTATCGGCTAGTGCAGAACTAGCATGTCCAGGCATCCGCTTTGCGTGTCAGTATAGCCGACTAGGCTGGGCTATGACCTCCGTGAGAGTGCAGACACGGAAGCCATTTCCGCCCAGTTGACTTCGGCAGGCGTGGCTCCATCGGATGGTTGGCTGCCGTGGTGTGAGAAGATTGTGAATCAATGAAGATTTTCCTTTGAACCTTCGCAGGCATTGACAGAGAAGCTCAAGCTTACTGGAAGATGGTAGTGCCACTTAGCTGCGATGCTCAGAACAGCTTGACTTCGCGTCGCTTACATTTGCTTGAAGGCAGCCATCTGAGTTCCAGGAGGCTTGTCGGAGCTTTCGAACAAGCGCCTTCTGCCTGATAAGCGCTTGCTTTTGGCAGGCCGCAAGAATGCAGCAATGTCAGCAAAAAGCCGTCAAACACATCCGTGCTCTTGCAAAAAAGCCCCTTGACTTACCTGGCAAAAAAACTGTATGTGGAAAGCTCTCGACATGTTGAGTGGCTTTGCAAGCTTATCGTTGCGTAGGGTTTTCGTGCCGGCTTGGCCGCAGGAATCACCAAGAGGCTCTGCCAGAGCTTCAAAAGCGGGTCGCCAGTTTCCGGATTGCATTAGGCAGTTTGGGTCCACCAAGTGGAAGACCTGGCATAGGGCTTGCCAGGTCTTCGGTTCCAGGAAGAAGATCTCTGGCTCACTTTGGCTTGGATCCGCGAGCTCGCCCCAGTGACCTGACTTGGTGTGATGCAGGCTTCACGGCCAAGGCACTGGGAAGAAACGTGCATTGTACTGTCCAGCAGCCCGCTGAGTCACTTACAGACAAGCACGAGACATTGTGTTTTATGTCACAGGGCCTACGGCCCTGTGATGGTAAACCCCTCATTATCATCCCATTGCTTCCGGCGCGAGAGCATCTTTTGGGTGTGTTCGAGCTCACCATTGGGTCTGAGCGTCCGCCATGTCACCAGCTTCAGGTGATCATTCATGTAAATCTGGACAAGATGCTGCAGTTCATGGAGAAGGTCGCTTCGGCACAGTAGATGTTAACAGACCAAGAGGCAGATCAACCTCAGCCTCCACCTTCTGCCTTCGCTGCTTTCGCTGCCGTCACTGCCTTCGCTGCCTTCGCCTCCTGCCGCTCTATCTCTCTTTCTCTCCCTCTCTCTTTTTGTCTGCTTTGCCTGAGAGGACACTCACTATCGAAACCAGTTCGAGACCAACACATCTGGTGGTCTGTTGAAACCGGCCACGCGGGAGAAGTGGGAAAGGGACTTATTTGGTGGTTCCTATGAGCCTTGGCCCACTCCCCATGACACTTGCACAGGATGACTTCGCATGTGAGGCGTTTCTGCCTCGTGCTGCTGGGGGGGGGGGCTGAATTAGATTCGTTAAAACGGTTGATTCTAACCTATTCTCCCCCGGCCTCCCCACAGACCTCTCAGAGAACCCCACAAAATGAGTGCCCCAGAAACCAGAAGAGAGATTTGGATTTTTGGAACTTTTGGTGAGAGATTTCCGAAGTGTTATATAGGATAGTCTGCCGGTTCGTTTTGTTTTTGTGCTTTGGTGATTTTTGTGCTTTCCGTGTGCCGCCTTCGGATGGTATAGATGCTGCACACCGAGGATGGGAGCGCTGGAAAAGACCGCCCAAAGTACGGCGTTCAGAATGTCATGAATGACCACAGGGGAGTGGTCAGATGTGCACAGTACGGTGACTCTTATCTGATACTCAAGGACGTGCGGCTGAGATGTACTTTCTCACCAGAGGATTCCGCAAACCTGAGAGCAGACAAGCTGGCAGTATTGGATTTCTACGCCCATGTGCTGCTGCAATACGACATAGCCGAGCTTTCCGAAACCATAAAGGTGGCAACCTCCAAAGATGCAGCCCTTCTGGGCGATTCAGACAAAGTGGGCAAAATGAAGTACAAGGAAGCCCAAATCCATGGCGAGATCGATTTGCGAAAACACGTAGAGCGGTTGGTGGCTCACACTCGGCATCGAGGAACAAGCGAAGGTTCTCGGATCCAAACAATGTGCAAGCAGAAAGGCTTCGGCTTCTCTTGGATGGACGAGGAACAAGAGCGGATGCGGAAGGAGAAAATTGGTGAGCTGGGGGGCGCCGCGTGGCAGAAGCGATTGCAGCAGCTCCAGGAGGACGGTGGGGAGCTGGAAGTGCCAGAGGGTTACTGCCGCGTCGGTTGTGGGCGTCAGGTGGCCCCAGGTGTCACCCGTGCTGGCCGACCATTCACCACATGCTGCCGCGGCTGCATCATGGGCTTTGGTCACGACCTCCGCTGTGGCAACATCGATGCCTCGAAGGTGGGACCAGGCAAGTGCAAGAATGGCTGTGGCCTCAACGTGGCGCCGGGTTGCGACTCCAAGGGCAGGCCTTTGACAACCTGTTGCAAGGGCTGTGCCCTGGGAATGGCTCATGACCGCTTCTGCCAGAAGGCCGCACCTTCAGGGTCTTCACGCGGCTACAAGCCGGAGCCTGGAATGTGCAAGATCGGCTGTGGCCGAAAAGTGGCTCCTGGAACAACCCGGAGCGGAAACCCTTACGACACTTGTTGCCGTGATTGCAGCACGTCTGGCGGGGCCACCCACTCGTCGTCTTGCGCCAAGTAATCTCGACTTCATGATGGTCCTTAAAGGTGGTTGTAGGAACGCAAAGGAAGGTTTTTGAAAGGGGCTGCTCTGATGAGTTATTTGGGACTGTGGTGTGCGCCTTGGAGTTTTCAAGACAGAGTGTGGGGGAGGGATCAGACTCTTGATGTGCTCATTTCGTACGGCAGGTTATCCACATGCAGTCGAGATCAGTGAGTAACATGCTCGCATCTCTGAAATGTTTGCCGTTGCCCGAGGGCTGGAGGGTTTTGCAGTTGGTGCAACCTGAAACCAGCTCAGCATCGGCCGGCACAGGGTGCCAGTGAACATAGCACAGATTGCTCGGCGGCGAACTGCATTCGTGCAAAAAATCGACTGGTTCAGCCTGCCTTCTAATAATATAAACCAGAGCAGCTGGCCTCGTGAAAATGCTGTCAAGATCTGTCAAGTTGTCATGAGGCGGACATTGCGCCGTTTCGTGGCATGCTGCTGGGCCTCTTCTTCGTGCGAGCCACGGGATGCTGTGGTCTTGCGATGCTGGAGGAAGAAGATATCTACCGAGGTCACTGTGGGCTTCTCTTTCGACCTTTCTGTGTTGGCACGCGCCCCAACAGACTTCACTACAACTGCCGCCTCTTTCAGCTGAACCTCTCCTGAGACACATCACTGGCTCACCGTGCTGCCGCTGCTGCTCGGGATCCTCTTTCTGAAGGTTCGGTTGAGAAATGACTGCGGTACCAGCAGCATGGCTTCTAGCGTAGCTCGCGCAATGCATAGCAAGGCCAGAGAGCATGAAAGTGAGACACAGTGAGAGTCTTGGAGGCTTTGGTGGTCGTGCTGCTGGGTCTCTGGCATGGCCTGTCCCATGCCTCTTCCCTCCAGGCCATGGAATTATTCCTGTTGGAGCGTTGGCATGACTTGGCATGACTTGACAGAGGCTTCTGCACTCTTGGCTCCTGGTGGGGAGTTTGCCTTGGTGCTCTTTCGCCTTACTGAGCACGCCACATCCCCGACCTGAATTCAGTGACTTCATTGGCTTGAAGGGGTGTTGTTGTGGATGTTTGTGCCACTTTGTGCCTCTCTCCTAGGTGGGCATTATGCCATCTAACTGTGCGTCTGGGCAGCAACAAGGGCTCGATACAGTGCCTCCTGCATACCAGCAGTCCACTGAACAATCCCTGCGAAGCCAGGCAACGATCCTTGTCGAGTGCTGAGTCTGTCACACAAGCACCAACATGTCTCAGCATATGTCCGAGCATTGTGCCTTGCGCAGCCAGCAGGTGACGACCTCCGTGATCTCGATGGCGTTGACACCTCTGCTGGCTGCTGGAGCAGACGGAGTGGCACGAAGGTGTGAATGACAGTTGATGTGAACTAATCTGGGCTGGAGAGCCTGAGCTTGAACAGGCTCCGGCAAAGTAGAGGCATGCGGAATCTGGCGGGGCACTGCCCTGAGAAGCAAGTTCGTTGCCAACCCCGAGTTGCAGTCAACTTCCGAAGGGGCCCTTCTGTGCAATGACGGCTGACCCAGGCAAGATCAGCGAGCTACTGCCGATGTTCAGGAGATCACGAAGGGTGGAAATGGCTTTGTTGCTATATGTGGCGGGGGCCTTGCTTTATCTCTTCTTAATTGGCTTAGATGCAAAACATAGCTGGGAGGATGTTGTTAGAGGCTCCACCGCTACGTAAACGCGCGCGGAGGACGCCCTGGCCGCATCGGTATTTGCAGTGTTTTCGGTGCTTTGCACACAGAAACCACACGCCTGTCGCGTTTTTCGCCACTCAGCGGGCTTGCCCAGAGCATCCATGGCCGCACGATGATTACGTACATGTGACCACTGCGTGCGATTGGCCAGAGCATCCATGGCCGCACGATGATTACATACATGTGACCACTGCGTGTGATTGGCCAGAGCATCCATGGCCGCACGATGATTACGTACATGTCGCCACTGCGTGGGATTGGCCAGAGCATCCATGGCCGCACGATGATTACGTACATGCTCTGAGAAAAAGAGCTCTTGCCCCACCCCCACTACCACACACAATGGCCCTCTAGCCACGAGCTAAAAGGCATAGAGCCCACAAACCTCGGTTCATGACCGCCCTAACGTCGCCCAAACCTAGGCCCCAGCGCAATTTAGTCAATTTTTCCTTGGATGTCGGTCCGATCTACTGTAGCCATGCAAATAAACTCAGACCTTCGAAATACTGCCCCTGCCACGTAATTTGCCCTTCCCAGCTGCACAGGGTTCTCTTCGGCGCGCGTTTACGTAGTGGCGGAACGTTAGAGGAAGAGCGCGACAGCTGAGACTGTCTGAGATTGAATTCCGCCCATGGAATGCTCGAGGCTACAACATGATTGGGCGCACAGTCTGCAACTTGCTTGATCAAGAGGGCGAGGCCGAATGTTCAGTTTTCCTGATCCTGCTGCTGTATGTGAAGATATATGTATGGGTTTGAGATGGTCGGAGGTTCGGTATCTGCTGCCAGGCACAATACATCGTCTTCGAGGATGATGCTGCCGTTGCGACAGAGGTTGGGCATGAGATGGACAGCTCTAAGAGCGCCTTAAGAGGATATCTGCCCGGAAGGCCCTTCCCAAGGGGCCATGTTCCTCTCCTAGCACTGGCACCCCTTTGCTTTATGATTGCCTTCCCCTTGCAATTTGCAAAGCATGGCCCAAGCTTGGCTCAAGTTCCGACTGCATCATGCTTGTGCTCGCATCTCATGATAGGCTAGAATCACAGGCGCCTGTAAAGGCAATTGAAAGGCATATGATGTGGTGAAGTGATAGGCTGACATGGCCGACATATCGCAGCGTGGGCAGTGCAGAGCTATGCAGAGCTGTTGCGCATGGTCTTTTTGTTGTGACTTTGTGGTTCGTCCTTGCGCTGCGACACGTGTCTTTCACACAGACGCTGCCCATGTGCTGCCGATGTGAGAGCTTCTGAGCATGGCAAGCATTCCTTTGCTGCAGCCCCCAGGGTTGAGAGGAGCAGTGCGTTGCCCGCTGGATTTGACGGAAGACCACTGGGAACATTTCGGCCTGACTTTGTCTTGCTCCCATTCCTGACACATTCGTGACATGACGTCGCCACTGTATGCAAGCTGCTAATGAATGGCTGCTAACTGGAGTGGAATCGGGGGACAAAGAGCATGGCACACAGAGCAAAAATGAAGAACAAAAAAAAGATGCACGGCATCCCCAAGGGCAAAGCACGCTAAGCACACATGACAGGCTTCTGATAGGACCTGATATGGGAGTGCGGGCTCGTTGGTTAAAAGGGTTTAACACCAAGCGCTTATAAATGGCATGGCCAGCGCGTCTCCTAGCTTCGGCCTTGGTGGGACTTGGCACGGCAGGGCAGGAGGCCGATGGAACCTTGAACTTGGCGCTGCAAGACTTGCAAGACCTCATTGATCTCACCATATCTCACCATATCTCACCATATGACATTGCTTTCGGACTCTTCGATTCGTCTGAATCCTTTTCGTTCCTGCGGTCTCTTCGGTTTTCTTCATGAGCATCTTGGAGGTGCCTGCGCTGCTCTGTGCCAACGCGAGGGGCTCACTGCAGTTGGTGAGCTGTTTCCGGTCCCAACATCCCAACAGTTCATTCCAGCAGTACTGTGTCAAGAAGCACATGGTGGTCACTCTCACCTGGTAGAGGTTCGCTTCTCTCTTTGTGTCAGGTCACGCAGTCTCGCTTTGATCCTGATTGCCTGCCTCCGGGAGTTCGAGAGTATTCCGATGTAGGGCAGGTGGGTAAGGACATCGCGGCCCCTTCACCTCTAGAGACTCTAGATTCTAGATAAGTTGAAATATTCGATACGCGGGCACCACATGCAGGACCCGCCGTACGTTTACCTCCAGTGGATGTTGGCTGAGACATGTGGAATTCACATGGCCGAATTCAAGACACAGTTCGCTACACTTCCGCAGGTGTTGTCGAGAGGACTCTTGCTTGGGCTTGCCTTGTGGATCCTTGTGGAGTAGGATTGGAGCAGCAAGTGCCCCCTTGGCGGCCTCAGGAATGAAGAGCGTGTTCCTTAACTTCTTCGCCCACACCTCAGAAGGAGGAATGTTTCAAACTGCCACAACATGTGCAAAGGCACCACAACAGGCAACTTCAGACACAACAAGCTGGGTCTTCGTGTACGGACCTGTGCAGATCGCACGGAACCTCGCAATGCTTAAACAGCGGCTTCATTTCGGAGGCTGTCGCTTTGGCCCACGGACCTCGATATATATATATATATATATATATATATAAAGTTTTTGTACGTGGTACCGACAGGACAGGGGTGGGCAGGCCACCCGGCCAGCCATTATGCTATTCTTCAATGGTAGTATCACCCGTCTGATGGGTTTCCTCGTTTACGGTCCAGGTGCCGGGCTTTTCGCAACCGAAGGACAGGCTCTTCTGATCCGAGCGACCTTGAGAAGCCCGCAAAGGAAACGAAAGCCACCATATGCAAGTATTGAAAAGTTGCCTGACATGCAACGTGTTTACAAGGAAGCGTGCAGAACACACAATGTGGAGTTACTTCTTGGCAAGAGCGCTTGCATGGGTGAGCGTGTGAGTCGAACACTGGCAAGAAATGTCTCGGCCGTGACTCTTTTCACAACACTATCCCTTTCCCTTCCGCTTCTCTCTCTCTCTCTCTCTCCCTGTCTCTGTCCGAGGTCTATGTGATTGGGAACTTCTTGGCCGTTGGGGTCGCCAGCTTACGTCGCAACGGGTCCCTCATCAGATGGGCTGAGAATGCTGAGCCAGCAGAGGCTATGAGCATTTTCTACATCGCCCCCCAAGGGCGGCGTTGCTGGGGGCTCTTTCGGGTGGGCTCCATGGGCTACAAGAGACTTGTTGGTCCCTTGACTTCAGAGCAGCTTCAAAACGTGATTGACTATATTACTATTGAGAGATTGAGGTCTTGTTATCTGGAACGAAGAACCAGTCAGAAGGCTGACTTTCGTAAGCGTGTCTTCATGCACTGCGTAAGTCATCATAAAGGTTCTACTATCGTTACAGCTCGCAGTATGGCTCAGACAGCAACGAGGCCTTAGGTCTGCGGCAGGCGAAGACTGTCAATGTCATGTAGCGACTGATGTATGTTCCAGCGCCGCCGCCGCCGGCTAGTGATGATGCTTTACTGCGTGATTTTCTTGCCCCTGCCCAAGTTCAAGACGATGCTTTGCTGACATCCTTCCTGGGTGTCCCTGGTCCCCCAAACCCGCCGCCGAGTGATGATGTGGCGGTCCTCGACTCCTTCCTTGCAAGCCGAAATGATGTCCAGGATGATGTTGCGATTGCTGACGTGATGCACGGCCCACCACCGCCTCCAAACCCCAGTCCCCCACCCTGGCCAGCGTTGCCAGCCACAATGCAAACATTACCTCCTGACCTTTTAACTCCCAGAGTATTGGCTCCATCACTCCGGCAAAGACGCCAGGATGAGTCATCTCGTCACCTCCGGTCGCGCAGCTATCCCACGCTCTTCGTCGTGCAGGAAGAAGCGGCCGACACAGCTAGAACTGAGGACGACATTTTGCTGAAGGCCATCTTGGACGATGCTTTGGACCCGATTCCTGGGCAGTATGCTGGGCCCTGCAAAACATCACCCAGTATAGTTGGACATCCCGGACATCCCCCCACTCCTCACAGGGTCCAAGAATCTCGTGACGACGTGGCTTTGGCACGCATCCTGGCATCTCCCAGGCAAAAGTCAGGTCCGAAGAGCGGGGCCTTGACTAGGCTACTGCAAAGCATCGACAGGACAGGGCGCACGGCCTCGGACGACGATGCCTTGCTCAGTGCACTCGGTTGGTCCTCAGCACGGACGTCTTCAAGAGCCCGCCGTGACGACTTGAGTCATGTTTTGGAGTCTTTAACTCCTTCAAACAAAGATGACAGGGCTCTAGCCAAGGCGCTGGGCCAACCTCCACCTGCCCCCAAGCTTCCCCGCTCGATACTGCTCTCAATTGTGGCTGACATGATAAGTCAGAGGATCGCCAAGAGCAAGGCGGCGCATGCAGAAGTTTTTGCCGGAGGGAGAGGACGCGGCGCGCGGCTTGACCAGCTCTGTCGACCAGTTGGCCTGACACTGGCAAACGACGGATCAGTGATGGTCGCAGATTGCGGCAACTGCCGTGTGCTCAAGTTCTCAGGACCTGCAACGGTGTCGGCGGTTTTAGGTGGTACTGGTACACATGCATGGTTCAGCCCCATCGACGTGACCTTTTCAGAAGCAGGCACAGGAGCCGTACTCGTGACGGCTGGCAGTGGAGTGCACCTGGGGACCTTCCAAGATCAAAGTCTGACATTAATCGCAGATGACTGTCTGCCTTCAGGATTGGCCTTGCAACATGACGGAAGTCTGCTTTTTGCAGATGCATATGACCACTGCGTTGTTCAGTGCGTTTGGAAAGGTGGAGCTCTTCGCAGGATTGTAGCCGGTGCAGCGTCTGGTCAAGCGGCTGTCGGGCAGGATTTGACTCGACTACACCGTCCGTTTGGCATCGCTACACAGGCGGACGGCACCATTTTCATTGCAGACAGTGGGAATCACCGGATCATGAGATGGACGCCTGGATCGAGCAGTGGGGAGATAGTCGCCGGTGGTCGGGGCCGTGGGAGAGGACTTCACCAACTCAATTATCCACGAGGCCTTGTCTTGGATTTCAACGGGGATCTTCTGGTGGCAGATACTTTCAACCATCGGATTGTTCGTTGGAGACTAGGCGCGACCACGGGTGAGCTCGTCTTCGGAGGCCACGGGCATGGGCCGCAACTCGATCAGTTGAACCGACCGACGGCCCTGGAACTGTTGAGATCCACAAGGCAAGTTCTCATTGCGGACTCCGGTAATCATCGAATTCTGAGTGTTAACTTGTGACGCTGGTGAAGAACGCTTCACTGATGCTGTCGTGTACACTACGAAGTTTCACTTGCCAGGCGATTGGGGAGACGCGCCACTTGAAAAGGGCTCGAGTGGCCCGAGTAGGCTGATTTGTGGAGCGCGCGCACTACTGTTTGCAGCCATGCAAGAACCGGTAGCTCAGGACCAATGTATTTTGTATTGATGGCCCTGGCAGCGTGGATCGCTGCGGCTCGGCGAGCACGCAAACGCATCGGAGAGCACAGCACTGCGCAGCCCAGCAAGCCCAGACAGCTCGAACTGCTCACAGTTATTGTAGGGTCAAGAGAGTCAATGGAATGTCAATACAAATTCGTGTTTTGCTCGCTTTCGATACCATTGCTTTCAGGTGGGCCTGGCCTATCGTTTTTTCACAGAGCTACATGCCTTCAGACAATTGGTGCACCAGGAGGCGAAGCGAGGCTCTGTGGTGTGCACTACGTCACTACGCTCTGATCACTACTGCTGCCCCACTGCGCTTCGCCGCATTTGTTTGCAAACGCTTTGGCAGGCAGCTGGCCACTCCAAAGTGGAGGGAGAGTTCAAGTGCCCAGCCCAAGTGTCGCCTGTGTCTATGTCTTCGAGCTGCGCTGGGTGACCTACCGACACTGCCTCTCGATCGCATTCCGATTGTTGAATTCATGGACTACATGTTCTGCCTGGAAGCTTGGTTTCTTACCCCAATGCACAGTTTTTAAAGGCTGGGGGGGGGGGTCCGGCAGTAGGGAGGTGACTGGATCTGTGCGTTTGGTGTTCGAAGCGTGTGGAAGCCTTGAAACGTTTGCGGTCCGCGCGTATTGATTTGTGAACATTTTTTGTGACTGTTGCCACTTTTTGGTTACTGGTGGAGATTTCTCCAACTTCCTGTGAAGCAACCAATGGGAGATGCTAAGCGTGAAGTCTTTATACGCCTTTGTCGCTGCATTCGGAAACTACATTGCGCTTGTGCTTGGCCCAGTAACGCACTCCCATGCCGGACACCGCACTGCACATCAAAGACAGGAAGCTGCAGAACTCGCGCAGCAGCGCAGCGTCAACCGCCACGACTATGACCCTGCTCATGGCCATGCTGCATAAGAGCCCGGCGACGCGGCGAGCTTGTGCATTGTCGGACGCGATCACGGATTGCGGGCACGACTGCCGTCTTTCTGGGCCCTCATGCGAGCTTTAATATTAATTTGTCGCCTCGGAAATCTTGTGCAGCCTGCCTCTGTCGCTTTGCTCCCCCACATCATATCTCCATATATCTCAATTCACTTCTTTCCTGGCATGCCTGCTTTGTCTCGCCCATGGTGTCGACACTGTCGACACACACGTTGTGGTGGCTGGCGTGCAGCTTCGGCCCTCAGAAGCGCTTAATTCTTATTAAGGCCGCAGAACTGATTAAAGATACTTAAAGACCGCGTTGCTTGAAGCATTGCTGCTTGAAGCTCCACAGCACCGGGCCGTCGTGTCAGCTTAGAAAAAAGAAAGACACAGAGAGAGAGAGAGAGAGTCCATGCTAGCGGAGTAAATCGGGGGAAGAAGCAGGCTCGATCGTTTCACGCAGCAGGCCAGCACTGTGTACACCAAACCGGCGAGGGAATCCCAGCATGTCACGTGCTGGGGTCAGCATTCTGGCATACAAGGGTTGTATAGATGGGGAACGGGGGGGACCCTCGCACACGCAGCACAAAGTGAGAGCCTTCTGTCAACAGTATCACCTGGATGGACCGCGTGGCTGGGCGCGCCTAGCGCGCGGGGAGGGGGGAACCCTTCCTCATGCCCCGTAGAAGAAGAAGAAGAAGAAGAAGAAGAAGAAGAAGAAGAAGAAGAAGAAGAAGAAGAAGAAGAAGAAGAAGAAGAAGAAGAAGAAGAAGAAGAAGAAGAAGAAGAAGAGAGAACAGAAAAGAGTGTCTGCTGTCGTGGGATGCAGAGATCAGCAATCGTTCGCCAACGAAGACGCTGCCTTTTGTGGTGAAATCTCCATCCCTCAGATGCCTCTGGGACGTACTTGCTATACTGCTGTATAACTTGTTCTTGACATCCCGGCAACGTGTTGTGTATGTGTGTGTGTGTGTGTGTGCGCGCGCGCGTGTTTGTGTTTGTTTTTTTTTTTTTTTTTTTTTTTTTTTTTTTTTTTTTTTTTTTTTTTTTTTTTTTTTTTTTTTTTTTTTTTTATGTGTGTGTGTGTGTGTGTCGGTCTGTCTGTGTGTGGCCACGAGGCTTTGACATCCTGGTACTTATGACGTTCACAAGCATGGACCTTATAGCTTGCATTTTCGAGCCACTTGGTGTGAAGAGATGGTGGAAGGCACTCGTCAGCTGCAGGCATTTGTGATTAGCATACTGGCAAGATCAGATGAGGTTTTGCTGGACATGCCTTATCGCTTGCTTTGCATATTGCAGATGCTTATGTTGCTGCCAAGCTGCAAAGTGTGCAAAGCGCAGCGTCGGCTTCTTAATTTTGTCCCTGTGGCCTGTGTTCGTCAGGCTTCTGGTGCAAAGGTTGCTGCGGCATATGCGGCTGGATGATCTGCAACTGTTCATCGGCGGTTTGCTGTTTATTGCCGATCGCCTTGCTCTTCCTCTACATTGTGTCAGGACTAGTAGGCTCGGCCATTAGCCAAAAGCCAGCTTTTTTCTCAAAAACCACAGATCAAGCCATCAGTAAACCTTGAACAACCATCTTGAAGCACCTTGCGCCGCGGTTTGCTGCTGAGATTTGTGGAGTGGTGTTTTGGATGTGCCATGTGCAGCCCCAGGGGCAACGATCCTCTGCACATTGCTGCTGGCAGCTGCCAGTGGACTGCTTGTCGCCTTTTCTCTCGGCCTCCGCTATGCGCTGGCTGCTCTGACTGGCTGGTTCTGCAAGCCGTTGCCACTGGCGTCCTGGGTGGACCAGGTGATGCTGCTGCACCCACTTCCGCCAGGCGAATCGTTCATGCATCATGGCACCGACCAGGATGTCTAACGATGCCTTGTGATGGCAGGTTCCCCATATTTCACGACAGCCATGGTTGTGCGCGAGCCGATGAACGAAGACGAGCGGATAAACGACCTGAAGCTGCAGGAGGTTGAGCTGCTGTATCAGTGAAACATCAGCGATGCACTTTTTTGCTTTGGGGGGCTACTGGCTTCTGGGTTTCCTGGCTTGTCGATGCTTTCCGGCTTGATGGCTTCCAGGCTTCCTGGCTTCTAGGCGCTGCTCTGAGTAGGGCAGTGATAGGGCTGCTGAGCTGCTGTCCTGGAGGCAACGCCGCTTGCCAGCTCCTTCGATGTAGACGAGGCTCCGGCGACCTAGTCAGAGTTTAACACAGCAGAGGAGAAACGACAATGAGGGCAGATCGTCGTGACCCGATTCAGCCACGACGAACCGAAACCTGCAAGCGGGGTCAGCGGCGGGGGACAAGGCCCGCACCACGCCATTAAGGAGCAACATACTGCAAAAGGTGTGGATTCTTGGCGGTGAAACCGCCCAGAATCGCATCGTATCTCCCTAAGACTCCGACATCACATGTGGTTAGGGTGTCGGGCCAACTTCTGCCCACGGAACAGCTCGAGGGCTGAGGGGGGGGGGAGGGGAGGATGGGGGGCCAGCCAGACGATGGAGGGAGACTGGGTCAAAGAGTTACTGGTAGCTTGAGCGCAGAACCTACAGCTTGAGTGTTGGCGGCTTACGACGGACATGGGTGATGGACTCGTCTGCATCAGCAAGTGCCTTTCAAGGCACATATGAGTTCTGACTACACAATCTGGGAAAACCACTTGGGAATGCCAATGCACATCCTGAACTATGCCTTCCCGGCATGGCCACGGCCTCAGGGTCTCAGTGCAACCCACCGGTTGGCACGTCGAAGTTCGGCTCATGCTCAGGTACACCATGACCTTCATCCCATCAGTGCTGATGATTGTGGTGGCAATAAGTTTTCTTCGGAGCAACGAGATCTTGTTCGCAAAGTCCATGGCAGAGTCTGCGCATGGCTCAGCGTTTGCTTTTTGAAATGTCGGGGTTTGCCTTGATTCCCGAGAGCCGCAAGACCTCGCACAGGACCTGGCCTGGTTGCCAGCTGGCCCGATATCAACCTGGCAATACCATTGGGTCGTTCTGCAAGCTGTCTTTGAGGGAGTCACTGACGGCTTCCGTGGAATCTTTGTGGACGTGCCATGGCCGAAAATGGACTCTGCTAGACGACAGGGAGTCAGGGAGACTTTGTCACTCGGTCTCTTTCAGCGCCAGGTCCCTGTGGCACTTGTCACAGCACCGAAATCGACAGCGAAACACGTCTGGGACATTGCAGAGAAGGGTATTGACGTGGTGAACCTCTTCAAAGCAGGTGCTCGGCAAGAAACAAGCCTGCAGACCAAACATGTTTCATGCAGTGACATCTCCTGTGCAGAAATCTTACAAAAGGCAGGTCTTGCTATTCAATCACCCATGCAGGTGTTCCTTTTGTTGCGTTCGTTCGCCTGGTGCGCTTTGCATGAAATCTTGCTTCGCACGGGCGACAAGCATTCGTAGCAATCAGGGCACAATATTGGCAACTGAGACCGGCGGGAGTCGCCAACAGAGCCTCTGGACGACGGGCAGTTTAAGGGCAACTTTGATGACTTCGAGTCAACCGTGGTGCTCCTCCGGTTGGTCTTGACCATGCTCTTCGGCTGTCTCCGTCTCACAGCCATCATTGCCCGGACACCGGATGAGTCGGATAGTCAAGAGGATGAGGGTGACGAGGAGGAGGACGAGGAGCACCCAGATCATCCCATACCTGTTCATCAGGGTCGCACTCGAATTCTCCCAGAATTTCTAGATTCTAGACTGGTCTAGGCTGTGAACTGCGCACACAGGAGTCCAGCGACGAGAATGGAGTGTGCTTGGCATAGACAAGTCCGCGAGCGAAGCTGAAGATGCAGTGAGGCTGATGAAGCTGAAACTCCGGCAAGAGATGCTCCTCAGGCTCACAAGTAAGTCTGCAAACAGGTTTGGGCAGTCCATTCTGCTTTCCAGAATGCTGCGGTTGCCGTGGCACCTAAAGGCCCAAAGCATGGCCACTTGGAAGCGGCAAAAAGATCCTGGCCTGGTGCAATTTCCCTTTTCTGATCCTTCTAACTTCCCTCACACAACAGCTCCTGCTTCAGGAGCTGCTGCTGTTCACGCTGCACATGCTTCGCTGGCATCAATTGGGGCGTCAACGGCAGCTCGAGCGAGCTCCGCAGCGCAGTTGGGAAGGTTTGCATCCCAGTTCTTCCAAGAAAAGTCGGCATGGCCACCTGTGTCATGGAAGCGCATGCCACTTCACAGTTTCACAGTTGCCTTACGTATACCCACTTTGTGTACCTCAGCCAAGGAGACCGGCGCCGATGTTTGGATCTCTGCCTGCATGTGCTTGCGCATGTGCTTGGACTTGCAGAGGCCGGAGTTGTGGGCGGCGTTTAGTTCAACTGTTGTCAACGATGTAAAATTTGAACTGCAATCAGCAGCCACTGTCAATCACTGTCACATGGTGTTTGGGAGGTTTCTTCCGCCAACGCCCTCGGACACGGTGGCGCTCGCGCTTGGCTGCCAGTGAGGAGGCCAGGAGTTGGGACCATGCAAGTTCCCAGTGTGCGGAGCATGAAGCATTGCCACAAAACTGCAGGAAGCACCCTGCGCAGACTCGTTTGTGAGCCCAGGCGCGGGAGCTTTCGTACTTCCTTTTTGTCTTAACATGTCACTTGAACCTTTCGAGCCGAGGACAGATGCTGAGATGCCGGCGGTCAGCGCGGCGGCTTCGCTTGCCTGTGCTGTCCGACGCCTGGGCCGCATGCAGCGACCACACCGACCGCCCGCTGCTCAGACCCAAAATGTGCCTAGTTCTTTGTGCGAGTGCTGTGTGTGTGTGTGTGTGTGTGTGTCTGCCTTCGTGTCCCAACCTCTTGCCCATGACTTCTTGCCCATTCAGGCCTAGCGCGAGGAAGTGATGCAGGTGGCGAAGCACACAAGATTGCGCAGAGAGGGTGTGAGATGTGTCCATGTGTTAGTGTCAATCCTGCAGCAAAGCAGGATTTCAGTTCCAGAACGTGGGCCCACTCGTCGGAAGCCCCCCTTCGCTTTGGAGCTTTGGTTGAAACATGTTGAACCAAGATAAGCAAGCGCCTTCTCCAAGCACCATCACTTTCCTGTTAATTATGCTTGCTTCGTGACGATCAGCCCAGGATATATTTTGTGGGCAGCAGCATGGTTCCAAACCGCTGCCCTTGGCAGGTTCAAGAGGCAGATCCATATGTCGTGGTAATGTCGGTAGCACAGAGCAGCCGAGTTTTTTGTGGACTGCAGCACGTTCCTGCTAGGTGATGCTGCTGTTTGAGCAGGTGTGCGATGCCATGCAACTTGGCAAGGCATGCCAGCCTGACACAGCATTCTGCGGAATTCCTTTGTGGCAGTCTGCGCTAAGCAATGTTCAACGTAACCAAGGCAAAGCTACAGCGTACTGAACAGCGCGTCCGGCTGCATTGCGTCAGAGCCTGACTTGCCGCATGATGGTGGCGAACCTGGCAGGAGCAAGGCCCTTCGCATGCGCATGTGTGGGACTGAAACACATTCGGTTGTGCCAATTTACTGTCCCTCTCCTGTGGTCCATGCTGCGACAGGCTCGTTCACTCGGTCCAGCGCAACGTGTGCAGCCCGTCGCTGCGTGCCGGTTCTGCAGGTACTGTAGATAGCGTTCTTCCAAATACATCTGGTTGCTATTGGCTTCTGCTGCCCACGCGTTGCAGAGCCCTGAGTACTGCGGGGTGCAGGCTTGCAAAGTCGAGAGGTGACCTCCGTACGCACTGTTTTGGCCAGAGTTCTTCATAGGCACCTTTGGGTAGCCAGTGGCAGATAGGCGGGCTCTGCCCAGGCGCTCTGCCTGCTCCATCCAAGAGGTCTTCGGACGCTTCGACCTCGTGGTGGCCACGGACGAGGGAACCCGGAAACGGGTGATCGAATTGGCTGCCTCTCAGCCTGCATATGCTTGCATGCAGGACATCAAGCTTTTCAGCACAAGCAATGTTCAGAGAGAAAAGAGCGACAAGCAGTCTCAGTGACAGCTATGTTTAACAGAGTTTCATAGACAAAAAAGTCAACTTGGGAACCAAAGAGCCTATCGCGACAGTGCCGGTTTGGACGGATTGCGGGCCCTTCCTAAAAGGGTTGGGTTTCAAGTCCTCAAGCTTTGGAATTAGGGGGCTCGAGTGGCGTGTGTGCGGACAGCTGCTGTCCTGGCGTGACACTGCAAGCCGGTGGCAAAAGGGGGGCATAATTTCAATCGCCGGGCGGACGAGGATAAACCAATCTGAAGTACATGAGAGCTCGACTTTAAACGAGTGCCATTGCCCAATGTGAGCACTTGCTGATGTTTATCGCAGCTAGACCTGGTGCACGCAGCCAGTCGATCATCCGTGCTTGAAGTCCATGCCCCGCCCGTGGCCCCACCACGACGATCCCGCATCCTCCCTTTGTCGTGTTTTTTTTGAATAAACGCGTTGTGCGGTTCTGCCTTGCCTTTCAAAAGCTTCGTGTTGCCTGGAGGGGAGCAACGACAAGCGGATCTGTTGCTTGGCCGACTTTTTGGACGCGCCTGGGCACAAACATGAGACTTGACTTCAAGCATGCTGACAGGCGGCATCGTTGCATGAAGCACGTGATTTGAGAGTCAGGTGTGCACAGTTCAAGACCAGCTGGCCCAGTGACGTGGCGAGCATACAAACTCAGAGCAGATGTGGCGGGTATGCTGCACATTGCAAGAAATGAGTGAGTCCCTAATTAATGCCTTTAACGTGGGTGGATCTTCCAAAATCTGCAGTGAAGTACAATGCCGGCACCTAGTCGTGCTTCCATATCTTGCACAACTTGCAGTGGCCTGAGCTGCCAAATTGTGTTCAGGCAGCGTAAATAGCAGTGTGCGTGTTTAGAGCATCCAAGTGTGCAGCGTTTGAGAGTGCAATGATGGAGGGTTCGCGTGGCGTCAAGAGGTGGAGAGCAGAATCTTTCTGTAGTCCCTCAGTGTAGGTTTCCATCCTTTCTACTATATCCTGAGCATTTGGGTCCTGTGCCTGCACTCACAGCCGAGGCTTGAGCTCCTCTGGGATCGGAAGGGTCTTGCCTGTGCTGTGCGGCCGGACGTGCAGAGCGTCGAGCGTGCCAGGTGGCATCTAGGGTTGAGTAGGGGGGTTGATCTACCGCCATTTGGTGCCATCTGGTGTTCCCGCCAAATGGTCGCGTCGCCAGGAGATTGTCAGACCTGGAGGACTTGGACAGCTGTGATTCGCTGCTTGTGGCCCAGGCCCTTGCAGTGGCAGGCAGGGTCCTAGAGGGTGAGGGTGTGTGGCATCCTTTAAGAAAGCGTGCGCTTAAGAAAAAAGCCTTTTCCAACGCGCCTTGAGCATCCCCGGAAGGCTTGGAGCGCGACTTGGCAGAGCCAAGAGGGGAAGAAAACAGATCTCAAGACTGCGCTGCTGTGTTCCGCGGTGTTCCGTTGTGCCGAAAGCCGCTCTTTGACTCGCGCCATCGAGGCTTCTTGATCTCACAGTTCCCGCAGCACTGGAAGGTATCTTGGTGCAGAAAGAGAGTTGACCTCATGCACGCCTGGGTCGTGGAGGACCGTCTCTGTCACAGCTGAGGACAGACTGCACCCCTACTCCATTCCCAGGAACTTTTGAACGAAAGAGTCTTTTGACAAAGCGAAAACCGCTGGTGCGTTTCACATCGTTTCAGACCGTTCCATACTCCCCGCCTAGGGAAATTCGGGCGGACCCGTGAGGTCCTACCTGCATGTCTCTTGACGAAGCCAGGCCTCGCTTTCTGAAAAAGTTACTTCTCTGGGGAGGAGTGGAGGGAGAGGTCTTTGGGACGATGGCCCACCTTAGAATCGAGTCTAGTTTTTTCACCCCGTCTTTGCGGAGGCGCGGGCCTCCGGGCTGCCCGTGTTCTTGGCCGATGTGGCACGCAGCCAAGTCCGGGCCCCTGATCCGCTGCCCTTTTGCTTTTGCCTCTCAAAAAGCTGTCTTCGGAGCTTCTCTGTCAGTATCGCACCGGGCAGAATGCATTGAATGCGCGTGGCCTGTGTGTGAAGAGGCTCAAGGCGTGAGCATCGGGGCTACACTCAGTCTTCCCTCACAAAAATGGCACAGAGGTTGCTGAAACATGCTCCACAGCGGTGCCTTCATTTCCCCCTTTTCCCACTCTGGACGAGGCAGACGAGGCAGACGAGGCAGGGGAAGTTGCTCTTGCCGCTCCATTTCCGAGGCTTTGGAAGTGAGAGTGACATGGCGGGCGTGCACAAAAGCCCCATTGTGCAGCTACTTTGGAAAGACAGGGCAAACCTACAGCGAGTCACAGCGGCTGGAGGCAAACCGCAGGAGAAGCTCTTGACCAAAACGGCCAGAGATTCCCGGGTTGCTGTTTCCTACAACTTCAAAGACGACTTCCTGTTGAAGGAACAGTACGCAAACTTCAACGGCTTAATCCAGTTTAGCAAGCTTTTCGAGGACCTGGATGCCTTAGCAGGCAATGTTGCTTTCAAACATTGTGATGATGACGACCCTGAAACCAGAATGCCACATTTGGTGACAGCCTCTGCCGCGGTGGCTGCATACTGTGCCGGTGTACCATACATCGTTTTTTGTTTTAAGCCTGCTCTTCGGACAACTCGTAACTTAAAAGGCTCCAACTTTAACATGTACGCCGCACGGGAGTAAGCCCACTCCTTGCACGACCCCACTCTGCACCCCAGCAGAGGTAGATCGAATCCGCCTGGCTCCTGGTATCGCCATCTCGTTGGACCAAAACTATGAGATGTCTGGTCAGGTCTCATGGGTAGGCAGCTCATCACTCATAATCCACATGAAGCTCACGCGCGAATCTGACGACGTGGACGTTCTCGTGGCCAATTTCACTTTCGTTGCGCGGGACATCATATCTGGCAAGAGCTGCCGCCCCGTCGCACATGTTTTGGTTTCTTTCGTGGCCACGCTTTCAAGACCAGTGCTGATGAAGAGGAGTGTTTTGTGCATGCAACCAAGGCAAGGTAAACAGACTGGAGCCAGAAACTGAGGCGCGTCGGCTTGATTCTATCCGCACTGTGCATGGGAGAGCGCTGCTCCTTCAGTGCAGTGGGTTGCATGTCATGCGTTTCCAGGATGAGAAGAAACTCTTCCAGCTTGCAGATGACAAGAACAAAGCCAGGCTGCCTCGCACCATTGCCATTGTGCCCCTGTGCAGCTACTTTCGATCTGCAAGGCATGTGAAAGTTGCAATTGAGACCTTCAACCGGCCACAGTCCCACCCCGCAGCCGTAGACTCCGTAGACAAAGTGTGTTGACAAATTTAGGTTCTGCTCGCTTTAGATTCGGCGCTCCCCTCCAAAGATTTGTCGACGTTCTTGCGCATCTTTCAGTACAGGTTGAGGGGTGGCAAGGAAACAGACAATCATATTCACATGGGAAGGAGGTTCTTTGAGGAGGAGGGGGGGTTCACACACATACAGAGTATAGATGTGTACATATTCACGAATTCACGTATATTCATACGTGCAGGTTTACATGCACATGTATCCGTATACACATCCACAAATGTACACACCTACACATCTGCACATCTGCACATCTACACATATACGCATATATGCACATATGCATATATACATACCTGCATATTTACATATATGTATTTATACATATATGCATATTTCTACCTATGCAGTTATCTTCATGCGTTATGTGCTGAAGTACTTACGTGTACAAGGCATGCTGCCCAACAAGAAGCGTAATAAATCCGCGTACCCTTGTGGTGAATGCTGACAAACGGGGTCTCAACTTAGATGGGCTTGTAGTGGCAAGCCGAAGCAGGTGTCCTTGCTATCTGACTCACTTGCCAATTTGTGATGCAACCGGTTTGATGTACGGAAGGAAGAGTGACGGGTCATGTTTGCGTGCACGGTCGGGAGTTGGGGCCCTAGGCCTTCGGGCCGGCTGGGTTGAGAGGTGCAGCTTGGACATGCAGAGGCTAGATTTGATGGGTGCTGTTTGCTTATGCTGCCGGATGGATGGCGGACCGCCTACCTCGAACCTGTGTGGATGCTACACTTGCGGTTTGACATTCACTATTGTGCCTGTTGTCGAATACTCCGGTGTATATGATATACCTTTTGGCCAGCTGGCTGCCTGCTTTTACACAAACTGTACAAACTGCGAATCAGAACTTGCCGCGAATCAGAACCTTCGCATCAGGAACTGTGAAGCAGAAACCTGCTGGATGCGGGTGGGGGGGGGTTTGGTCGGGTGCAGGTTGCCAGCGCACCGCGAATCAGAAACTGCGCATTAGGAACTGCAAGATCTCCGAATCATCTGTTTCCCGGTTTCCGATTTCAGCTGTTTCCGAGTTTCCGAAACAGCCCGTTCGCCAGTTTCCGAATCATTCGTTTCCTGGTTTCACCCTTTTGGTTTCCGGTTCAGGCGTCCTGGTTTCTGCTTTGGCCGTCCTGCTTGCTGATTTTCTGAATCAGGGCTTTTCTCTGATTCAGCCGTTCTGGGTCGACCCCTTTTACCTGCGCTGCGCTCGTTTGCGTTTTTCGCTCCACGAGGCCGCCCCCGGGACCCCGTATGGGTTTCAACGGCCAGCCAGCACAGATCGGTTTTTCACGGTTTGCTGCTCCTGCGAGGCGAGCTCTCTTATGAATATGCAAAGAGCCGATAGTCAACTATAAAATTTAGCGCATTCAAAGCAGTTCGGGCTCAGTTGGGGCATGACGACATTCGGTGGCAAACTGCGACACATGGGCCGGCATTCTTTTTGATATGGCATTTGTTCATCTGGCGATGGTGTGTTCTCGCCTTCCCTGCAGCTTGTTGTTTCGTCTGAGTTGTTTGGGAGAAATCAGATGGCGATGCCTGCTGCCTTCCGTGGTTGTTTCTGAATTTGCTGAATCCAGGAGAACGGCCCGTGCAGCTGCAAAAGCTGCAGCAGGCACGCAGGTGGATGCCACGCAGACTGCTTTGGCCAAGGAGTTTCGGTGCTCCAAACTTCTTTGTGTTTGGGCCTCCCAGGCTCCAGCAACACCGGTTGTGCTACTCTAGCAACCGACGAAGCGAAGCAGCGCGATGAACCAGAAAGGGGTGCTGTTTTGTTCCAGACAGACTGAACATTTGTGATGCCAATGCACAGTTCTAAGAGCAAGCTGCAGGAGCTACTGGACCAAGGCCGGCTGCTTCAGGAGCTGAGTGTCAGAGTTGGCGTTTCATTCATGGCTTGCGGGCAGTTTTGCGGAGTCTGGCAAGGACATGCCTGGACTTGCAGTTGGCGACGCGGTCCTCATTCACCAGACGCAGCGGGAAACCATGATTATTTGCCAGCCGCAACAGCGCAACACTGCTGGCCGTATGTTTGGCGGCTACCTCATGAGGCCAGAACCACTCACTGCATGTGAGCGGCGAATTCCACTCATGTGACTACATGTCGGTAAAGAACATGCGCTTACAATGATGGACTCAAGCATCATGCGCGTCAGCACGAGTAAGTACCGCTAACTCATGGAATGGAGAGAGTCGCATGTTGATGTATATGCACTACGTGGTGGAAGGGGCGGTAGTGGTGTCAAGGGGATTAATCGCGGTAGTAGTGGTAGTGGTGGTATTGGTGGTGGTATTGGTGGTAGTGGCGGTAGTGGCGGAGGTAGTGCAGTATTGGGGGTGGTGGAAATACTCACAAGACCGTGGCCATCCGAAGTCTGAATGTCTATGGGACACAAACCACGCACCAATTGCACCTGCAGTGTAATTGCAGGTGTGCCTACCGCTGTGCATTTCCAACTGCCTACATGTTTGCGGGCTCTTTCCCACACTTCGTGGAGGTCGACGAGGCAGGCTCGGGTATAGTTTGCCTACCGACTTTACAATTACCAGACTGCAGCAGGTCAGCTTCATTCATCCGGTTGAAGTTGGAGACATATGCGAGTTCAACGGTTCCTCGGCACCACGTTCAGCTCCTGGAGTCGTAGAGTCACAGAATTCGGGCTCCTGTAAGAGGGCTGGCATGTTCGACCTTGAGAGCTCAGAGCTTTGTGAAGAAGATGTTGCGCGTTACTCTGCGTTACCCTGAGGACGAGTCATGCTGACATACACGAAGGTGAGACCGATTCTGCATGTGGAAGTCACGGCTTCCGTGCTGAAGCCTGAAAAGCAGCCCGGCGTGGGCTGTGAAGATACGTTTTTTTTGCGTGCCTCCCCCGCTTGTAGCCTGTACAATGTACATGTCATGACATGTCCCAGAAATTCTCAGAACTCAGGAAATCCAGCTTGGTCACAAATGCATCTTGGCGGATGACCCTCGCCCCCCCACCCCCCCTCCCCCCCCTGTCATTTTCAAAGAGCGCATCAAAGTGCGGAGCAATGTGTGGGTGGGGAGCAACAAAAATTAGCAAACAGGGAGAAGTGGAGAAGTGGAGAAGTGGAGAAGTGGAGAAGTGCGCAGGTCTTCAACTTCGTGTTCGAGCTGAGACCGAAGCCTGGACAAGCTCTTCCGGTAATCAAGCGCGTTTTCCCTGCAACAAACACCATTGCTCAGAGAGTCGCCGGCCGGACCGCACGACTGCACGCTTTTAAAATTTTCGTTCAAGTTTAGTTCTCTTTTAAAAGTGCGGCAGGGTTTAGGGTTCTAAAGTTTCTAAAGGCCGGGTACAAGACTGCTGCGGAGCGGTGACTCGTGCAACTGATTACGTCAGGTCGCCATCATGGCCAGACACGACGCGTAGGCGGCACCTGGCATGCTGACAACCTGTGCTGCATGGTGAACCAGCCGAGTGGATGTAGGACGTCCACTCCGCCCCTCATTCCTGTTCCGTACTGGACAAGTTAAACTTGTGCAGCTAGGCAACCTGTGCCACCAAGCACAGAGTTTCCCAAATCATCTCAGCAGTCCCATGCCCATGATGCACTGCTGCACCAGGCCCAGGAAGTGTGGCTCTGCGGGTGCATATTGTACGATTCTCTTCCTATGCATGGTGGACTGCTGTAATTGGTTCCGGCTTACGGGCACAGGCTTCAGTGTGGCATCCAAAAAGTACAGTTCGCCGTTTGAAGTGCTTGTCATGTGCACAAGCTTTCCGGTGTTGCTTCCAGGTCTTGGACGTCTTCAAGATTGGACAGGCTTGTCTGCTTGTCGTGATGTAGCCTGCGCAATCCACCGAAATATCTCGCGACCCGGGGATCCTGTCATATCCTGGGGGGTCAGCGCCATTTAGCCTTCAGGCTCGTGTCGTGGTGGTGGCCAACGAAAGCCGGAATCGAGCAAATCAGGTCTCCGGCTTTGGAACCACAAAAAGGCCATATGAGCATAGCAGCATAGCTGATGCATGGCTGTACTGAAGGTGGCTACCGCCATTCGGTCCAAGTACCCGCAGTTGCCGATGGTTGTAAGAGCAAAGGACATTCTGAGCAGTTGCAAGTTTCAGAAGCCTTTTTTGCAGATGTCCAGATTGAGTGAGCCAGGACTCTGAGCATAAGCAGTGGCTGGAGACCACGCTGAATGTTAAGGCGGGCTGGAGCACTCAGAATTTCTGAGACGTGTCGAACTCTCTATCAGCTCACGCTTGCCGACATTCCCTACAGCGCTTCCGGTGCAAGAGTCTGAGAGTTGACTGGTGGCAGGCATTAATGCCCGCCATGATTGCCGTTCGCTGCAGCCTTGGATTTTGAAGCTTGGAAGCTTGGAAGCTTGGAAGCTTGGAAGCTTGGAAGCTTGGAGCCCGGAGAGCTCTCAGTTGCTGTCAGAGACTTTCAGGCTTTGGGACTGAAGTGATGCAGCTGTTGGGCTACCCTGAGGCATCTCATGGATTTGCTTGTCCACTTTGGTTCTTCTCCATTCTCATGACCGAGAGAATTGCCCCTCTCAGGATGAGGTAAAGGCTTTGCTGCAGGCCTTGACATCTGGTGGCGAAGAGCATGAGTCGGGTTGTTTTGGGTCCAGAGGGCTTTCCGGCTTTCCCTGCCCCGGAAGGAGCTGTTGAATTCGGCACTGGTCGCGGCCATAGGGCTCCAAGCGGAAACGCGAGGGAAAAGCTTCTTTCTTATCCACTTATCCATGCGATGGAGGCGTGTTCAGAATCAAAGCATTCAAGTCTCCCAGGCTGAAATTTGTGGTGACTCGAAAACTTTCCTCACCGTCGTTTGCACCCCAGAGCGGTCACAAGAGCTTTCCCGGAGCGGTCCCAGAGCTGTTGCAGACGTCCCTATAGACCTCGGCTTGAAGTGTTCAGGACGACATTATCGACGATACCGCTGACATCATCGACGATACCGCTGGAAAGCAAGCGAGTGAGAGCAGTGGTGACCTTAAACTGAGCATGTGCGTTGTTGTCCATTGTGATGGTTGCAATTGTAGATATGCTCAGCGGCTGAAGGTGACAAGTGACATGAGTTGTGCCGGTGGCTACCTTGATGCCAAGGGGCTGAGTACTCATCGTTTCGGTACAGCTTCGCACCTTTCATCCTTTCACTGTGGGCATGGAGGTAGTCCTGCCTACTCCCAGGTGAACTCGTAAATCGTTGTAGATACAACTCCCAAACTGCGATCAATTGATCGCTGCTCTGAGCATTGCTCAGCATTGCTCCAGCTTTGCTCTCAGGCATAATTCACTTAGATCCATCGAGTGACTCGTTGCAGAGCAGTGGCGAGCACTCGATATACTCGGGCGTCTTAAGGGTGCGAACAATTGGCTGCCGCTGCCATGGTGTTCTTCAACCGGTCGGGGGTTTCCATCTTGCGCAGGTTGACGAGTACTTTGCGCGCATCACAGTTCCGCTCTATGAGGCCAGCACGTGCAAACTTGGGAGGGGCAATGGGCGGGAGGGGGCGACTACAGCCTTGCTCAGACTCGCTAAGGTGACCTACCCCTTTCCAGAAGCACTGCGCGAGACTTGGGTGAAGGGAACTTGTGGCTCCAAGCTGGCCAAGCTGGCAGACTGCCGATGCGAGGCCTTGGCTCAGGGTGCCAAGGCGACGCAGCCAAGTGCATCTTGTCTCATTGTGGGAAGCACAGAGTTTGTTTTGTGGAAAGGGCTTTCCAACATGCGTGTCAGTAATCTTACCCAGTCTTAGCCGAGCAAGCCAGATGGCCTTTGACAGAAGAGCACTGTAAGGCATGCGGCCCTGGAGCAGAGGCGCAGTTGCCCTTTGGGATTGTCACCTGGCTGCCTCCAGAATCTGCATACGGACCAGGCTTGGTGTGGCGTTCAGCTCAGACACGCCGTGAGTCGGAGCGGCTTGCGGCAAACTCGGTTCCTTTGCTCAGGGATGGGTCGTCCTGTCCCTCTTGGAAGATCCTGGAGTTGTAGACGGAGGCCAGACTCGGTGAGACATGGCATGGTAGCGCAATGATGGACAATACGTCGGGTGTCAGGTTTTACCTACCGGCACACAGGCACCGAACCCACTGCGTAAGATGAGTATCTCTGATCCAGCAGCTTAATGCGATACGTCAACAGAGGGCGAGCTTCTAGGCCACCTCAGCTGCAGAGGCCGAGCAGACACGGCCACTTTACATATCGTCGAGCCGGCCTTCTCTAGATTTAAATTTCCGGGCTGGTGTGGCTGCTCGTTCGGCTTTTCCTTCGAAGCAGTGTCGCAGGGCTTGTCGAGTCCGAGCAAGGCGAGCCACCAGCCGAGTCCAGTGAAGAGATGTGAAGAGGTGTTGGAAAAAAACGCGCCAAGCCAAAGGTGCCAACCGTGAGGGTCCAACGAGGCCCAACAGCGAAACTGGTCGCAGACATGAGCCGCCAGCTCTGTCAGGAGGTCGATGTTTCCGAAAGAGCGGTTCTGTGACTGCTATGAGGAGCTGCAGTCCGCAGGCCGAGGCCAAGCCCAAGCAAGGCCAAGCAAGGCCAAGCAAGGTCAAGCAAGGTCAAACAGCAGTCGAGAAAGCAGGAACTGCAGGTCCAACTGTTCTAAAAAACACGTTCACAGGAATGCGCAGAAAGTCAGAACACCAAAAGTTCGGGGAACGACCAGCCCCGGCCGTCCTTGGCGGCATCCGACCAGGTGGGAGGGGGGAAACGTGCTCGTTCAAGCTCGTGAAATCTACAAGCGCGCTGCTCCAGCCGCTCGTGCGCCCAGTTGCATCGGCCGCGCGTTCTGAGCTGGAGGCGGCGCCTGTGTGGAAACCCAAGACAGCCGCCGTACCCACAACAAGCCTTCTCTGTGACGACCTCGCCCTGCCTGTGTGGTATCAGCGACTTCCTCTGCAAAACATGACATGCATTTCAAAACCAAAAGCAACAAGCCCTTGTACTGGTCTGTTCATGGCATCCACTCACCGGAGCCGTCGCAACTCAGCGCAGAGCTCTGGACTTCGGAGGAGTCAAACCACGGCGCACCGACGACATCGTCGCGGCTGAAAGCGGCCGATCCGTGCCGGAGCCTCAGCGAAGCAGAGAACATGAGATCTTGGCACTCAGACATTTGGAGAGACACGGGCCAGGGGAAAACTAAGAAAGAACGTTCTTGCAGACTTGGCTAATGAAGATTCTCTTCCCACGCAGGCCTTCCGAATCAACGAAATCCCAGCTAGACGCCTGGCTGGGAGCTGCTGAGGCAGGACACGTGCCACGTTGTAGTCTCGCGCGCAGGCTTTGTTTGCCGGATGGCCCGGCCGAAGTGAATGACTACAACCTGTGATATTGAGACCACACACAAGATGCAGCACATGCCGAAATTGGACCATGCTCGCTGATGGATATGCGAGTCATAGCGAGCCTCGCCTCAGCCAAGCCAAAGCATCCAACATCGTCCAACATCATCCCAGAAATCTTTTGCCCCATACAGGTGCCGGCTGCCGAGCTCCGCAAGGCCAATGCGCAACTTCCCCGGCCTGTCAGCACTGCTCTGGCCAGGTGGATCTGCTCAGGCAGAGCAGCTGAGACACAGCTAGTGCGAATAACATGTTCTCTGGGACTCCGGGGTGCAGATATGCAAAGGGCACGTGTCATCAGCATGCCAGTGAGCCACTGCTGTCTTGAGGCCCGCCTCTGCACTGCCGCAGGTGCACTGGAGGGGTGGCAATACTAGCAGAAATAGGGAAGATGGAGGTTTTGATCGAAGGTGAGGGTAACGTGACGAGACGAGATAGGCAGAGTGCAGTGGCTCGGTTGCAGAGTCGCATATGCAGGCCCGCGATAGATGGCCGAGCTGTTACGGTGGTCAGCCAGAACAGGAAGAGCAAACTCTCCTAAGGTTGTATCTCTTCGGGGTCCATCAACTCGCACATGCGATCAGCTACATGTGGTCTATTTGCTGTATCCCCGTAGGGCTGCGTGCAGCAGTGCGGTGAAGGGGGACCGTCCAGATATCGAGTTGGAAAGACAGGACGGAAAGTATCACACATAAGCAATTAACGGCCCCGCAATTTTACTCTATTCTATAGGGTCTTTTGCTCCCTTATAATCCTATTTTAAATCTTTTAATTATTGTTCTTATTCTTATCTCGCTATTACAAACTTTGCCTCGCGGGCTTTTACTATTCTCTTAGCTCTCTTGTCATATTGCAGGTAAAATGGGTGTTTTCAAGACATGCAGCACATTGTTGGACCGCTGCCTTGCGTCACAGGCCTGTCCGCTCTCGCGCCGTCGAAGTGACTGATGCGACAGTCGAAACAAGTTTCCTCATGTTCCATTACACTCACGCATGATCACGCCTGGCATGTTTCAGCACGTTGCACGTAGCATGTCTTCGAGTTCGGTTCGTCCAGTCTTGCGATCGCGTGGCCTGATGCTCGTAATGCATGGCTTCATAGGTACGATAGGCATAGCACAACCAGCACAACCGTCAAGCAACCAGCCCCATCGACTTGCTAGTCGACATTTTGCCATCATTTGAATTGTATGAGGATATGATCAACAATCCTGTTTGCTATTCTCGAATGGTTCACGCATCTGGTTTCTGCCCCTTCCCAACTATTCTTGTTGCACCTTGCTGTCCCGGTTCTGGTTCCGAACGCGCCTCGAAGCCATGGTGCCAACCTCGGACATCTGACCTGGCATGCTTTGGAAATCGATCTGCATGTTGGGCTTTATCGCCACGAGTCCCTGCCTGTTCTAAGTGTTGATGCCTTGTTCGGCTCAAGACTGAGCATGCGCACAACTGACACGAGCTCTCACACAATGGCCAGATTGGCGGGCTTTCTTCATCTTGCATTGATGCGCAGCGAATGACCATCTAAGCCAACCTGACACGCTAACGGTCCCAAACTAACAAGCTGACACAACACGCTGGGATGCAGTGGGTGTCGAGCCTTTGGTCATCAGGCGAGACTCCGAGAGGAACATGAGGGTCATGCCAGGCATGCCAAAGAGTGTGCGGGTCCCTCTGGATGCCTTCCAGGTGGCAACAAGCCTTATCGACCCCTCCTTCCTGGCCCGAATACTGCATTTCTGGAGCTTCTCGGCACATCTCCGAACACCAGCTGGGGGAGTGCTAGGGGGAGTGCTAGGGGGAGTGCTAGGGGGAGTGCTAGTGGGAGTGCTAGGGGGAGTGCTAGGGGAGTGCTAGTGCTAGGGGGGGAGTGCTAGGGGGAGAGGGGGGTGCTAGGGGAGTGCTAGGGGTGCTAGGGGTGCTAGGGGGAGTGCTGGGGGAGTGCTAGGGGGAGTGCTAGGGGGAGTGCTAGGGGGAGTGCTAGGGTAGCTAGGGGGTGGGAATGCATCCTCGGCGTCCTCCTTTTCACCAGGTCCGACCGGCACTCGCCAGAGCCAAGTGACGCGGAGTCAGAGAGGCGCCGAACCTTGGAGTCAAGATGCATCGTTGCGGGCAATGTAACAATGTAGGCACAGGTATGGGCAGGTTATCGCAGGTCCGTTCAGTGAAGAAAGTGAAGAAGTGGGGCTTCAGCTGAGGAGCTGCTCTCACCTGGCTTTTGCAGGGCAATGATGACGATGTCCGAAAGGTGCTCACGGACTTGGCGGAACGAAAAGCATGGCTTCTACAACAGGCAAGTGCATGTGTTCGTCCAGTACAATCGCCGAGTAGCTGTTGCCTGGTACGGTTGCTGGGTCGGGGGCTCTGACGGTGAGTCCCGCGTGCAAGGCTTTGGATGCTGCCACCGTCTGCTCCAGCACCTTAGGTTCCCCCAGAAGGCAGAGACTGACGGACTGAGAGACTGAAAGATGAGAGACAAATTCATAGATGGGTAGGAGAGGTTTCTGCATTCCGCGTGCGGAAGCCGGGGTCAGGTTAAGCCGCTGCACCTGAGCCCGAGAAAGTGCACTGTGGTTAATTCGATCGCTTTTCATGCAGACCTGGTTTTTTTCAAGCTCCCTGACCTCCGGTTAGTATCCTTCCCGCTGCCGCAAACCTCCCAAACCACCACCTCCAGCTATCCGCACCACCCCACCAACAGAAATTTGAATGACTTTCGGCCGGCTTAATTTCGCAATGGGCGTGTGCGAGGCGTCCCCCCCAACCTAAACGAGCATCGACAGCGTGCAAAGAAGCGGTACCAGCATAGGCAACAAACCGCAGGGGCATCCAGCACAAGGCAAAGGCACTGCCAGCACAAGAAACCCACCGCTGTCAGTTTTCATTCGGTTGATGTGCACGTGTGCTCACACCTTACAGGCTCCGGCGGCGAAGCTATGGCAGCGAGCTTCCTGAGTGCACTTAAATCCAGTGGCACTTGTATGCACGTGTCACGAAGAGAAGTTTGACACCATTTTCGCATGCTTTCTTCATACATTTTCGTGGAGGCTTATGCAGCGCACCTTGCAACTTGCTGCAGCCACCCCGCCTGCGGGGCCCAAACCGGTGGAGCCGGCTTCAAAGTCGCTGCGATGGACAAGAACCGATGTAACGCACGCTTGGGAAGACTGCATTGTGCAGTTTTCGTCGCCTGCAACTCGTCTTTTGGTCACTTCGCCCGCTATCGCCCGCTGCACGGAGAACTGCTAAGAGGGAGGAGTGCGCGTGTAGTTTCAGGTATACCTGGTTGAGGAGGATGATGGTGAGGTTGTGCTGGACATCGTGCGAGTAGGGCCCACCGCCGCTCTTGCTGCTTTTGGATTCCTTACAATGTGGCCTACGTCGATATCCCGCCCATAATCCCGTAGTCCTTGACTTCCCAAGCACTGTGAAGCCAAGGATGGAGCCTGCCAAGTCAGCTACTCTACGCGAGACTGCTCCGCCAAAGCAGATTCTTCCTTCAAGGCCTTGTGTTCCGGACATTTTCGGACTAGTCTACAAGCCTTCCTCTCGATTCAGTCGATGAGCAGGCCACCGCCGGCACGGTTTACTACGAACCTGGTGAGTTCAGCAAGTCAATTGCTGTGCCGCTGATCAGCAACACACGTGGCCTGTCTGTACTGGAAGAACGTGGCCTTTGCAGCATTTCCCAACAATAGTGGATGTCAAAAAGGAGGACAGCTTTTCCACAAGTCGATCTTAGGTTGGGATACCCATGTGGAATTTGCCGTGGAGCTGCTGGAAGATGGTTTGGTGGGTGGCGTGCTGGGGCATTACCTACACGAAACAAGGGTGAAGATCATTGACGCTCGGCGCGTTTGAAGTCCAGCGCCCCTCCTATGTTGCGGAGCTCCGAAGAATGCGCCGGCCTGCACTTAGGACGATGACACGTTCCCCTCCATCCGATTCAAGGACCAGGTCCTAGCACAGGACTTCGACTCCATCCCAAGACCCTTGGATGCTGTAAGCCCCAGATACGTAGAAATCCTAGAAGTGCCGTATCACGGCACGGACAATGCCGCAATGCGCACTGATGCGACTGCTGAGGACTGGGCCTGCTTTGGGAGTACATCTCTCGCAACCTGGGAGAGCCTTTGGTCCAAGTGGGCACTATCAAGATGCTGTTGCTTGCCGTGCTCGACAGATGCTTGGACCTATAGATCGTACTCTCGTCGAAGTTGTGGCCTTGAGACATGTGAGTCATTGTTGCGTGTGCATTTCGAAAAAAGGCTTGTTCCTGATGTTCAAGCTCCTTCTGAACTTGTACATCCTGCAGTTCGTCCTGAGCCAGGACTTCCCTGCCGAAGATTTGCTGGTCGTTCCGGAAGCTTGTCTCAAGACATGTAGTAGAAAAGAAATGGCTAAAACGGCTAACGGCTTTGATGAAGCTTGGCTTAGCATTCGCAGCAAGTGTGCAGGCCCCTGACAGAATTTAAGCCATCCTGTGAGATCCGACTTCAAGTTCCCTTTGTGCCATGCGCACCACGGTGCAACTCAGCTAGGCTGAGTTGTTGCATGTTGTTGCCAGCTGCTCATCAATCAGCCTCAGTTCATCTCTGGACAATTTCGGTTGAGGAACGGATTGCTGTTGCTACCAAGGGCACGTTCCCGCTGCCAGAAAACCCTCCAAAAACTCAAGAACTTGTACACTGTACGAGGAGATCCATCTCACGTTGCTCAAGTCTTTGGTTTGCAATTGCCTTCTGGTGACACGTCAAACCGACCTCCTTTGCCTTGGATATAAGATTCCTCTGCGAGCTGAACCAAAAACTGCGAATAAAGAAAACTGCTCATTGCAAGACGAAAGAATTTCTTTTGCAGGGAAACACGGGTGACCTTGGCATTGGCTGTAACCGTACGTAGCCATGGCCAAGAAAGCGAACGGGCAACGTTGAACTGATGGCGTAAGGCGTAAGTAACACCGGAAGTTCCAAGCGCCAAACACGAGACCATACACGTTCAAGGAAAACCGGAGCCTTAAGATGGGACCTGGTCATTTTTCAATGCATCCGCAATGTGTTTGTGATAGTCCGAGTCAGTTTTGGTTAGGGATGCCCCTGCCAGACACGGCGCCTGCAGGGCAAGCCGTTGTGAACACACTTGATGTCGGTTGTCAGCTGGGATACATCACTCATTCTTGCTTCTCATCATATGAGCAGTGTCCGGACAAGGCAGCTCTGCCAGGTTCTCCGGCCACAATTGTTTCTAGGCTAGTACAAGTGTGCAACTGATTGTGAGCAGGTAAACACTGGTGGCCAACCACGCATCCACCAATCTCCGTAACTTTATTGGGTACGACTAAGCCCTTAGAGGGTTTGCATCCGCACGGTGCGCACGCGCACGCGTGCGCGCCCGCGCCCGTGCCCGCTGACCGCGCACGCGCCCCCGCACCCGCGCACGCGCGCCCCCCGCACGCCCGGGCCGCGTATACGCGCAAATGCGCACGTACGCGCACACGTGCACATGCACATACGCGTGCACGTGCACAAACGCACACGCGCACAAACGCGCACGCGCACACGCGCATACGCGCATGCGCGAACACTTGCACGCGCTCACACGGGCACATGCGCACAGGCGCGCCCCCTTACTCGCACACGCATACGTGTGCCCGCAAGCTTTCGTTTTTTGCATGTGTCGATGGCATTTCCCAAGGATCGCCTGCGCTTCCTGTATGCCTCTATGGCCATCCTGTTACTGTGGTTTGGCTTCCAGTTGCTTCTCCGCAATGTGAGCTTGAAATGGCTGTGCTCCTTGTGTGTGAGATCGCAATCCTTTGCAATCCTGCAGGCACTACCTACACTACTTGCAGCCATCTTGGAGGGTTGCTGGGCTTACTCGAGCGGCCCTGCCCTTGGCTGAAGCAATGCCTGCAGCAGCGCATGTAGACATATCCAACATGTCACGTGAATGCGTCCTACTGTGTCTGCACCCTGCCCGAATGCATCTTGAATGCTTTTTGATTAATTACATGTTGAGTGCACCTGAAGGTCCTGCAAACAGGGCTTCTCTCTAGCTTCTTGCTTCCTGGCCGAAATCTCACGTGCGGTGACGAAGGGCCTGCCCCGGTCAAGTTGTATGAATTGAATGCCAACCAAGCTGGCAGTTGCAGGTTCATGCTGGGATTGCAACTCAGGAACTATGATGAGGAATCTCGGAACTCTGTCGACACGGGTGGCTTGCCTCTGTCAGCCCTACTGAGTCTATTGTGAGCCTCCGAGTTCCGCAAACTTTGTCGACTTTGTCCTTTGGTGCTCGTCACTGGCGCGTGTCAGGACAGATAGGTATGGCAATGATCCATGACGTCCCGAACTTGGTGAATAACGGACGCCTGGTGCGCAAACAGAAGGAATTAACAATTGACTTGATGTCTGTACTGTCCACCCGAAGTCCTGTCACAGTTAGTCTCTGCATTCATTGCATAGCACCTCGCTGAGAGGACTTGGTACGCCTATCGTAGAAGTTGGGTCTGCTTTCAGTGTCGGTTCATATTCAAATCCCTGACTCTTCTGGTCATGGGCGATGCCGCTTTCCATGGTAGTTGTCCAGGATACTTGGGATTGGTCGCGCTTCTCAGCGCAGAGTCTTTGCTGCATGCGTGTAGCGAAGCCGAGTTGGACGAGATTGAGGAACGAGCCGGATCCCGAAACCAAGAATAGACTACCAGGTTTGTGAGCAACTAATGCCCGCAGTCAGCGCCCAGTCGGAAATGTAGCCGTAGCTGACTATAGAGTCCTGGATTACCAGCCCTGCCCCGTCTGGGTTTCGGGCTGGCATGTTGTGGCCGTCGATTCATAGGTTCGGAATCAGGGTCTGCAGGGTGTCCCTGAGGTTTTCAAGCTCATGGTGATGCTGGCCTTTCAGATTGTGGTGCCACCCTTGCTGGGCAAGAGCCCCACCTGGCTCGGCTCCAACCTCAGATCTCTTGAGGGAGGCATGCGAAGGTGGTTGCATGCTACCCCTGCTCCATGAATGGTAGCTTAGGTCTCGCCCCTGCCCTTTGCATTCCGCTCATTACGTGACTTGGCTGCTCTACAGCGCCTGCATTTGCTTGCAAGCATATAATGGCATCTCCACGAGCGGTTGCTACGGTTCCGTGCCATGCGAGATGAAGTGCTGTTTTTGAACATGCTTCCGGGAAAGTTCGGAAATTGGAGCCGCAAAATCAGATGTCAGAAGCTAACTGCTCAGATGTCAGAAGCTAGCTGCTTTAAATTACAATTCAGAGACCTCATGTGTGCGCATCCTTGCCTGACGATGCAAGCAGCCCTCGAGCACATGCACACAAGCCCCTTCTGCAGTGGAATCATAGCTACCAAGGTGCTTCTTTCTATTCTTACGCTTCAGGAGCCAGACCCAGGCAATTTCTGTTGTGTGCTTTCACCATCATGTAATCCCGGAAAGCGCTAAGGCAGTGTAAGGCGCAGAATATTGTCAGATATTCGCATGTTGTGGTGCTGCCACCTCAGGGAGACGAGTTGTCAGTGCCGCTGAGGGTATTTGGTCTCGAGTATGCTTTGAGCTTCGAACCAGGGTACATGTAAACGTACCTTTGCAGCCTGTCCATCTTATCATGCGCATTTCTGCCCTCAGAGTCGGCACTCTGAGAGATCTTCTATCATGCAATATATGAGTCTTGCCTAGTATCAGCAGAATCCGGCTGTCAGGATGCAAGGATGTGTGTAGTGCCACAGTGTCATGTCCAAGAATACTGGCTGCCGACGCCAAGTGAACCCGCTCAAAAATGATTCGGATGGTTTCAAGGCCCTCTTGCAATTGAACAAGCCTCCATCGTGGCTTTGATTGGGGCCAAGAAAGCCCTTGCAGCCACCAAAGCACCTTGCAACAGGTTCTGCGCGACAGCGAAGACAAGGCGTCGGAACTCTGAAGCCCTGAACATCATAGAACACACCGGGCAAGGTCAGGGTAGTTTCTCTGTAGATCTCTCTGGTTCTGGCATTCAGCTGTATAGCGTGGAGTGTGGGCCGCGCTTTGCAGCAACGCAGGAAGCGGGCATGGTCGGCTACATCACGCTTTCTGGATGAAACTTCAGCTTGCCTGTGCAATGGTAGGCCAGTCTTTCACAGGAAGGGCGCAGACACATGCGCATACCATTCAGTTTCGAAGCATCGCAAGTTAAGTTGCGTCATGTCTTACGGAATGGTGTGCTCTGAAGCCGAGGGAAAGCGTGCGGACGTTTCGCTTGATTGCCGACTTCGGCCGCATAGCTGCAAAGCATCGGAGGTTAGGTAGCATCTGAATCTAGCTAAGATAGTTGTTTGTTAGCTGTTGCTGAACCTTCCAGTCCAGCAGTGTGGTGCTGAGCAGCGTGACACGAGGCCAGGCGACCACCGTGCTGGTCACTCGTGCCGCATTGTGTGGCAACGTGTTTATCGTGTATATATATATATATACATACATATGTATATATATATATATATGTATGTATATGTATTTCTGTTTTTACGCATGCTGTGTGTGTCTGGATGTGGGAGCGTCGTCCTAGCAGTTGAAGGGTTGCGAGAAGGTTGTCCGCAAATGCTGGTCTACCGATCTGACCATGGCTTGCATCGGTGACTTAGGATGGCTTCCACGACAGGCTGACAGCATACAACAGGTCGGCTGTTGATGCTCGGCTGGAATGGGTTTGTCGGCCACCAGAATATTTTTAGACATGTTCTGGCGACTGGCAATGACTTGTTGAGGAAGAGGTTGTAGCGAAACTGCTAGACCCTGATGCTCGCCGCAAGCTTCACTTGCTTCAAGGCATGCGCGCAGATGGAGGTGAACAATCAGCAGTTCGTTCAGTGGATGCCGCTTGGCAACCAGCTGGGTCCCCAACCGTGTCGTTGGAACCGCTTGAGCTGTGTTCCGCCTTTCGCTCAATGATCAAGGGTGCATCTCTGCATACATATGCATACAGTCAACGGCCAGGGCTGTAGACTCTCATGCAAAGGATCTCGAGCATGTGTCAGCTGGCGTCCTTGTTCAGGACAACATTCCTGGTGGCTGTGTATACGGTCTTTGGTGGCATTTCCGTCGTGGATGGCCGGCTCGAGTTTGGCATGTTTGCAGCTTGCTTGCGCGAAGCAAAGCTGGAACCACAAGAAAATGCTGCCTTTTCGTCGATACTCTGTTGGATGGATGGGCGACCGCGTGCCGAAGATGCGGGCAGCCAAGGTCACCAATATCGGGGTATTCAATACTGCTGGCACAGCTGGTGCAGACCCTCATCTCAAGCAATGCCTTGTTTGGGGCCTTTGCTCCAGTTCTTTTCAGCTGTGACGATGGGGGTCTGCGAGTTGTCTCATCGCCGTTTTCAGGAGCTCTGCCACGTCTTGCTGTCGATGCAGAAAGTTGCACCATCCCTGGACCACTTGCGCCGGTATTTGCCGCTGCCTGCAGCGTTCAAGTTCATGTGTTGACAATGTATAGATGTTTATACTTTTCGTACCCCCCCCCCCCCACCCTTCCTCCCGCATGAAGCTCGTGTTGTAGGCTCCTGAAGGGCGAGCGGGCGTGGCGGACGAACTTGTGCATGCTTCCATGTGGAGTGCAGGACCGCATGGTCCGCTTCTTGAACTTGCCCACGGACCTGCTACATCGCGCCTTTGATGGAATCCTGATGGAAACAGCTGAAGCAATGAGAAGAGGAATGCAGGGCATCATGGACAAAGGGTCGGGATGGGTCGTGTAACAAACAGTGTGGCAAAATCTTGCACGAATGCTTGTTGCAATGCTCGTACAGGTCGAGATTTGGAGCGTCATCGTCGCTTAGCGACTGCGGAGTTCATCAAGGAGAAGACCGAAGGAGATCCCGATGTGGATCCAGGAGAGATGGCTTCCCGGGCCTTGCTCGCAGTGTTGCTCTGTCTAGATCTGTCTGGATTGCAAAGAAAGTTCGTGTCTCTTGGTGTTGGAACTTGCTGGCATGCATAAAAATGGAGGCGTAGATTGAGTGAGGAGGCCTCGGGAACGTTGTTGGGAATTCCCATCTCTGCAGGGAGCGTGGGGCGCGGGGTTGATGAAATGTGAAACTTGGAGAAAATGAAAGATGGCTGGACTGGAATGAGAGTTTGAAGGCGACGATCGTTGAAGGCATGAGAGTTATACACAGCTGGAGGGGACATGCTTTGAGGGTGGCCAGCACCCAGGGTTCCTGGCCTGACCCTCCGCACGTCTCCGCACTGTTAGCTTCCTGATAGGATTTGCGGTGGACAAGCTGAGCTTGGTGTCTTGGTCGAAAGGTTTCTGGGGAAAAACTTGCAAAGGTGCGAGGCGATTCGGGCCTTTGGCAAATCAACAAGAGAGTCAAATTTCAGTTTTCTGAACATTTGCTTGATCACGGATGCGTTTTTGCAAGGTCAACGCTGTGCATGGCCAAGTTGTCCCCAGAAGAAGCCCCCGAACTGAGGCCATCAGCAACCTTCAGTTCTCATATCCGGGCAACCAGCCTGTATCTTTTGATGGAAGGCCCTTTTGTCTTCCGCAAGAGTTGCCAAGTTGCCTCTTTGTGGAGAGCACGCCTCGCCAGACCCACGATCTTGAGCCGGGGCTGTGCTGTGGTGTCCTGGTGGTCAGCTGTTGTGCAGGTTGGAGTTCCCACAGGGTCGCCTTCTGGCCATTGTGGGTGCGCGCCACTCCGGCAAGTCGACGCTGCTGAGGAATGGAAGATAACGGAAGCTTGATCTGATCTGCAAACGATGTAATTTGTGCAGTCATTGGCCTATGCAGGATTCTTGCGGGGCGAAACCTGCCCCAGCTGCTGAAACCTGGGGCCCTCTTTTTCGTTCCCGCGCACCTTCAAGCTGCTTGGTGACAGACTGGTGTGGAGGTTGAGAGAGCTCCTGGGTGCCTCCAAAATGGAGCCCTCCATTTCTTATGCACACAAAGGAGCAAGGAGGGAATTGTCTTTGTATAGTTGAGCCTTCTGCCCTCATGAATTGCAATTGCGAGCCCAAGGTTCTGTATGTTCCACACACAGTCCTTTTCTTTCACGGTAGCCTGTATGCCAACCTGGTGTACGGCAGCAGGCGGGTGGCAACATATTTCATTGCGCATGCCTCAAACACTTTCGTGGATCTGATCTGATTGAGAGGCATGCTGAGGATGCTTCCATGCAGCGGGTCCTGAACATCTGCGAAAGCCTCCATCTGGGACCGAAGATCTTGGACTGCGGCTGCTGCCGATGCACCTGTCCTTAATGCTCGTCACGCTTTGTGCTTCATACCCGAGCCTTCGGCAGCAATCGGGTCGGATTGCCAGCGTTTGCACCTCCAGTGCTTGTTTGTGCAGGAGGAGATCAAGTCACAGGCAGAGATCAAGGAGCGCGACTGGAGTAACAAGCTCTCCGCCACTCAGTGGCTTGCCGGCAGCTCTCACTCGGACTGCTTGTGGCTGCCTGTTGAGCTTAGTACTTGCTGTCAGCGACTTCACTATGAAGACATGTGAAGACTGAACCTTGTGAAGGTGCCAGGCACTGTCGTTGGCCCGAGCCTTCATTGCAAACGCAGCTCCGAGCTCGGGATGGTGGTTTTTTTTTTTTTTTTTTTTTTTTTTTTTTTTTTTTTTTTTTTTTTTTTTTTTTTTTTTTTTTTTTTTTTTTTTTTTTTTTTTTATCAACTTTGTTATGGTGTCTGAAGAGTGGAGCTCCAGTTTCAAGGAGCTCATGTGCCTGGAAAAGCCCACGGAGCAGGTCGGGGCGTCACATGGCCAGCAGTCCATGGCATCATGGCATCATGGCATCTCATGGCATCTCATGGCATCAGTCTCGTGGCAGTTCCATGACGAAGACGTCAAGCGGATCTGCAAGCTCTTTGGCTGCTTACTTTTCACTGAAGCTAGCGGCTACCCACAGCTAGGCTTGAGCCAATGTTGTCAGCGCCTGGCGGCCATGTGATTTCTTGGTGGTGGAAAATGGAGATGAATGAACACAGACAGACGGAAACAGGGATGCATGCGATCAAGAAGAGAAGGAAGAGGAATGAATGTAACAATAAACAGATGGACACAGGGCTGGAAGCAATGACGAAAGGAAGCATGAAAAAGACGAAGGAGAATGGAATCGACACTCACAGCCTAGAAGAACAGACGGCTTTAAGACCGTGGCATTTGGAAGCCCACTCGTTGTTGAATACGCATTTACACAGCAAGCTGGCACCGATGTTGCCGCGTGAGTATTGATGATGTGGGCTTCGCTCGGTTCTTCAGAGGAACTGATAGGACATCCATCTCTCGTACCATGGCTTCATTCATGAGACCGTATGCCTCGAAGCCTGGCCACCTGCCAGCTCCACCTCCCTCTCCTGCAGCGCCAGCAAAAAGTCGGCCCCAGATTGTCAGACGGTATGCCAGCATGCAAAATACAGAGCAATATCAGCAAATGAGGTACCTCAAGGATTTCATTTCGTTACACATGACCTTGAGGGGTTGTCTTGAAATCGAGGAACCACTGGCGCCAACGGTAAGCAAAAGAGAAGGACGGTAATGGATCACACCCATATCAGCAGGTTTTCTTCGAGGTCGCAAAATGCTGTGGCCTCCAATGTTCCGCGGGCATTGAGAACGGGAGGCGATCACAGAGTATCTTTGTTCGTTTGGCCATGGTGGTCACGTGAGCAACCGTGCAACTAGCAACAGCTTGCCTGGCTGCCCCTTAGCTTGGGATCCACCAGTCGAGGCTTCTTCGGCACCATGTGAAGCAGCGAGGTCAGGGCACTCGGGCAGGGACTGCAAGAGCTATCGGGAATCTCTGAGCTGAGCCTCAAGGCCTGGAGACGGATCAGGATGCCATCCTTCGACGAAGACCTCGAACATGTATTTTTACTACAATGCGGATGCCGCTCACTTGCAGTTGGCTTTGTTCTCCGATGTGTCACTGCCCCACGTGCAGAATGTTGCCAAGGACGTGCGTCAAGGCCGCCGACACCACCTACATGGCTCCTCGGCTTCAAAACACACGTAGGACGCATTCGCACCAAGCGTTCTCCCAGCATTCGCCCTCGAGGCATGCCAAAAGATGCCCCAACGCTGTGCAGGTCAGACCTGACAGCGGTGTCCAAAAGATCCCGAGTGCCTCTGCCAGATCCAGTCATATCAGTATCCAGGCGACGTGCTTTCGCGCAGGGAGAGGCTGCAAAAAGCATCATATATTTGGACTCCAGTTAATATCGCAGGCGCACATATTATGGGTTGTGGAGGAACTGCAGCATGATTGTAAGGCAGCGAGGTGACGGAGGAGATGCTGCGATGAGGACTCTGGTCTCGAAGGAGCAAATGCCCTGTGCCGAGTCTCTGAGCGCGACCCCAGCCAATGCTTGCTGAGTCGTCTTGTGTAGATCGCACATGTAGTAACTTAGTACTGGTACGACTAGGGAGAGGCTCGTCCTGTGCGAGGGGTCCATTAACTTAGCATGCACTCTTTAACATGCGCTCAGTTCGGGGTGATGCGGCAAAAACCTGCCTGAAAGTCCCATTTTGTAGAGACATCGATATCTTGAGATGTGGTAGAGATGACAACATATGCAAGGGAGCAGCAGAGCAACAATTGGCCCAATGATTCCTTTTCACATTTTCTATTTTCAAAGGCACAATGGCTGGACAAACACTGTCCGGCGCGTTTCGTTGAAGTTCACAGGCGCACCCAAGGCACCATGCCGAAGGTGTGACGCTCCCTGCGCAATTCGGTGTCGCTCAGTGGGCGTTTTAGCCCTAGCTGGCAGACCCTCGCAACAAAGCGCGCTCTCGACATGGTCCAAAGTGTTTCTGCTGGTATCTGGACCCAAGGCCCAAGACTCGTGGAGCAGTCAACGGATGCAACTTCTTTCCCGAGGCTATGCCACCTCCGACTGGCACGCATCAGCCTCAAAAGATAGCTGATCGACTGTCAGACCGTCATGAAAAATCACGGACACTAGGACCGAGCATCGCCGGCGGTCACGGGTAAACGCCGCCAATGAGGCACGGCCAACCTGCCAGTGATGTTGCTTTCGTGTGGTGGCGTGGTGGAGTGCGCCCTTGGCAGGATAAAATCCGCACCCGGTCACAAGGACACGGTTGGTGAATCGAACAGGGCACAGACTCTCAAGACTGGAGACGCTTCTCACATTGTGCATGACTTGGCCTTTGTTGGGTGAGGGTTGTTGCCGTCATGTCCTTGGATGCGAAAGCGTGCTTGGTGCTCCTTTGAAAAGAGCCGCGATCCTGACTTCTCCTGCAACCTGCTTGAAGGACCGCCTGGTTGGACCGAGGCCCATTCTCAACGATTTGACACGAGAGATACGATTCGTCGTATCAAAGCATCAAAGCCAGAGGGCAAGTATAGGGCATCCAAAGTTTCTCGCAGGCGAACTTCGTTGGAACCTCGGGTGACCGCTGTGGAATTCTTGCCTAGTGTGACCCAGCAGCCAGCACATAACAGCACATAAGTCCCCTACCAATGCTACTGAGCTGAGTTGAGCTTTGGATTCAGGCCATGCCTCCAACATCCTTGCCAATGAGGGGCAGCTGCTTCCCTAGAAGCCTTGCTGGCCCATCCGAGTGTATCATCATGCTAGACTGATAGGGCACAGGCTGTGAGGTTTTGCTCGCCCTTCCTGCTTGAGGTTTGCGAACAGAGCTGACAAGGCAACTGCGGAGCGGCTCGAAACATTGGTAGCCCTGTGCAGATGCTCAGCGATGCATGAAACCCGAGTAAGGGCCGCTTGAGCTCATGCTGTTGTACTGCGTGCATGGTGTTGGGTCCCCTGTAGTCTAAGTGAGCCCCATGTCCGGTAGACTCAGTATGGCTGACTGGCTGCTGGAACGTTGCAGGCTGCATGCCGCGCATAGGGCTGAGGCAGGGGAGCAACATGTCTTGCAAGCCACTTTGACTGTGCCCTGGGGGCTTGGCTTGCACCCACGCCCGCTAAGAAGCATGTAGCCTAGATCTAGGCACTTTCATGCGAGGTTCCTTCGTTGGATTCGTTCCTGAACATGTGAAAGAACCACCTGCGTTTACTCACAGATTTCACGGTCACACTGAAGGAGGAAGCGTCAACGGATGAGAGACTTTCCGAGCTGCAGTTCGATTGTGCTTCTTGTGGAGCGGAAAAGTATGGAAAAGTCAAGGCCATCGGCAATGGCAGACGGCTTTTGCTGATTTTTGCTGCACACAGCACGATCACGATGGCGAAAGAAGGCAGATGCCTCCAAGTTCAACTCGTGATCCGACCAGTGCTGGATGGTGACAGCATGGGGAGGCTAAAGTTGTGCAGCGCGTAGCAGGAGGGTCATGCTGTGGGGGTGCTGGAGCACTTGGTGCGCAACTGTGGGCGCTGTCGCGTGCAAGTTGTTGGCGCACGGCCTCTCAACTAGAACGATCGGGCTCGGTGGAAACAGCTCGACACAATGGGGCAGTGTTGATTGGGGCAGTTCCGCGAAGCTGAAATGCCAGCATTTTCACGCCGTCAATCAAACAAGCGTCATATTGTCACCGAACTTTTTTTGTGGAACATGTCGTGTTGCAGGCCGATCTCAGAGAATCGCCAGAGGAGATGCTCTCATATTCGCAACGCAACAGCTGTGTTCGCAATCCATATCAAGAGTGGTCTCAATTTGGCATCGTGATTGTGCTGACGTGCCATGTTTTTTTGTTTTTTTTGCTTGCTCTCCTCAAACCATTCACAATACGTAGAGGAAGTTGTTGAAGCAGCCGAGTGGTTACGCTCTGCTTCGAACTCAGCCACTGACTGCGATGCAGTGCCGGGTCCGGGGAGGGGGGGGGGGGGGCGGGGCGGACCAGAAAATGATCAACATGGCATTGTGAGGCTGATGCGCTTCTTATCGGCGGAGGTGCTGGCTTAGGCGCGCAGTCACATGATTTGGTCAACTGTGCCACCATGCAGCGCAGCCGGGATGGCAGGTGCCCATGGCGGTTTTCCAACATTTGAAGGTCCTGAAGCTTTACGGGTACATGCCTCAGTTTGACATGAGTTGAATAGGAGGTTCCAAAAGCGCAAAATGCAGACAGCCAACTTCGGTCATTGATAGGCAATGCATCCTGTGAGAAGGTAGGTTTTATTGGCATTACATGATAACCAAATGAAGGCGCCTCGCTTTACCTTCAGGACTTCGCGGGCTTCCCTTTAGAGGAAGTCTACTGCGCGAATTGTTTCTTGGAGGTTGGGCTTGAATCCCTTTTGTCCGGAGCCTTTGCTGGCTAGTCCTGCAGTCCCGAAGCTTGCATGCATAGGCACAGGATGATTCAGAGGATACCTGTCTCAAGGCACGTGGTTCGCTTTCAATCGACTTGGTTAGCAGCGAAATAGTTGCAATCGCAAGGATCCATGTTTGGCCTGGGCTTTGTGGGGTACCCTCCAGAGGCTGGGATCCTGGGTCGCAAGTGCCCAGGGAGGTGCGTTTGCAGCTGTGCGATTCTGTTGCCGTGGCAGGAGATACAACAACCCTCCGGCCGATGCGCTGAAACCGTACAAGCAGGCCCTCATATTAGCTGCGGCCCAGCATCGTCCCAGAAATGTTGGGCTTGTATGGTTCGTGAACAAGAGGTGCTGAATTATGCAACGCGAGCACCTTTGGGTGCCTTCTGCATCACAACTGCCGCCCATGCCTGAGATGTTTTTTTGAAAAGCGTGCACAGGTTACAGCTTTTGGCCTAGCCGCCTTAGAAGCTTCGAAGCGCTTGCGACAGGTTGATGGCGCGTGGCTTCAGAAAGGCTTAGGCAACTTGCAACATTCGGATTTTCGCAGTACCGGGATCCAACTTCCCCCCCCCCCCCCAAAGAAATTGAGACCTCATGTTGACCATCGATGTGCTGTCTTGAACAGAATGGCCGGAAACCGCACTTCTCGAGCTCCATGGGCGCACAGGCGGGAAAGTCTTCTACAAAAGGTTTCAAAATG